CAAGAGACAGGACTGCTGAGAAAGTGCTAAGTACAGGGCTTTTCAGAAGAGGATGTTTGGAACTGTTTCCATCGTTTAGGTCAACTTTTGGCCAAAAAATCATGTGAGAGTGTTACTCATTCTTGGAAATGCTTTTATAACTTGTTCAGAACTTTCCAAATGAAGAGGTTGAGGGCTTTAAAGTACTTGGCTTCAAAATCTAAAAAACTCTAACACTGATTAGTTTACAGCAATAAATTGTCAGCCATCAGGGACGATGGAAACTTTCTAGCCAGATTTCAACAAAAACCTTTGCGTAGCTGGTGAATCAAGGGGAATGAACGAGCTTCGTGACTCAACATGACCAGCAGGGCCCGTCCTCCACTCAGAGCCACTGGGTTTGGGGAGTCGCCTCCTCCCGGCCTGAGTGCATCAGAACCCACCGCCCACCTAGGTTGAACTTGGACGTGAATTACCATATCGTAAACCAGTGTTTAAAATGAAATGTTCGTTGTTCTTAAAAACGTGGGATTATCAACTTTTTTGTCATTAATATCTTTAAACTATTTAACCTCATGTTAGAACTCCTACTTTCTAATACACTGTAGCCATGTAGCATTTTAAAATATTAAAAATTTAAAACATTAGAACTAGTGTTTAAAATTATTAATATAATTTAAAATGTAAAATATTTAACATTTAAAACACTCACGTAGTGGTACATTTAGACACTTTGCTTATAAGGGTTTACACTCAGAGTGGTTGATCATTCAGTTTAGCGATATAAAAGCAAATATCTACGAAGCCTAAAACAGTCTTTTTATTTTTTGTTATCAATTTCTATTGGTCCCAATAATGGCTGTTTGTGGCTGCTCGATATCGTAACTCTTACATTTCCCTAATCATTTGGATCATTTCTTTTTTTTCACATTTTATTTTAATTGTTCAAGCACAGTTTTCTGTCATTCCAATCATTTCTAAAGACAGCAAAAGCAAAACAAAACAAACAAAAAACAAACCTCACATAATGAAAGCTTTCCCTTTACTAAAACCAAAGACAATTCTGGGTTGACCTCTTTTTCTCCCTAAAAACATTACTACAGTTCCAGGGTTTTCAAAGTCCACAGGTAAGGACGACAACGGCTCTCCAGAGCAGCACCCCGGCCTGCCGCAGGATGTCCCCTGCCCTCGAGTCCTCACGTGGGGTGGGCCGGGACCCCCAGCTTAACTGGTGATAAACTGAAGCTGGTTTTGGGGCCTTCCTATACAGGCCACCCTAGTGAAAATGACACAGACCGTTCATTGCTTTCATCTTTTTTTTTAAAGATTTTATTTACTTATTTTTAGAGAGAGGGGAAGGGAGGAAGAGAAGGTGAGAAACATCAATGTGTGGTTGACTCTCATGTGGCCCCCACTGGGGACCTGACCCACAACCCAGGCTTGTGCCCTGACTGGGAATCAAACTGGTGACCCTTTGATTCACAGCCCAAGCTCCATCCACTGAGCTACACCAGCCAGGGCTCATTGCTTTCATCTTTAAAAAAAATATTTTATTTATATTTAGAGAGAGGGGAAGGGAGGAAGAAAAGGAAATAGCAGGCGAGAGAGACATCACCAGTTGCCTCTCACACACCCCTGGTTGGGGACCTGGTCACAACCCAGGCATGTGTCCTGATCTGGAATCAAAGTGGTGACCTTTTGGTTTGGGGGACAATGCCCAACCCACAGAGCCACACCAGTCAGGGCCTTGCTTTGAATCTTGATGTCATCAGAAATAATTCTTAGAACTCACAGCAATTAAAGCTGGGTGGTTCGACTAAACAGTCAAGAGACTGGGAATCTACTCTGATCCTGTAGCCAGCCATTAGGTGATTCTGAACCTCTTTTCACCTCACTTAGCTTTTTCCTCTATAAAACGAGGTGGGATGTGGATTTCTACTATGAAGTAGAAGGTTCCTTGCAGCTTTCGCAGTCCAAGGGTATTCTTAGCCATTCCAATCCCTTATAGCACAGTTTCAATTTAAGACGGTGTGGCCTGTAAATTATTCTTCCACACGGAAAGAATCTGGAGTTCACTTTGCAGGACACCTGACAGAGGGGAGCAGGTGAGGCGTGGGGGAAGTCCTGGTGCCAGCAATGGCCCCTCACAGTTTTCAGTCCCTAATGTTGCATCATCAGTGACTCTCAAAGTCAAAGTCAGTCTGTGACTCTGAACTTCATGGATCACTAACCACATGGAGCATCACTAACCGCATCACTAACCAGATGGAGCGCCTCCATAAACCGACTCACACACGCGTGCTATCATTCAAATCAGGCAGGTTTCAAAATCAACTGTCGTGGTTTGTATAGTCATCTAAGACAGAACTACCTTTCCCAGAGTCCTTTTCTGGGTGGTTATAGGTTGGAATTGGCTCAAAGATGTGTTTGTGTGAGATCTGGAAGGCAAAAGCAAAGCAAAGGCCATTTTTCTCTGAAGGTCATCACAGTCAAATATGGCGGTGAACAGTCCCCGAGGTACCTGTCCTGATTCTCTTCCGGTCCACCTCCATCTCTTCTTCTCGAGTATTGCCCTTGAGTGTTGGCCAAGGGTGGCCCCAGGCTCCCCAGTAGGTGTCTCTGGCTGTAAGTGCACAGTGGTGGTCACTATGTGGCAGCAACAGCTTCCCGAACGCCACCCTGCCCAGGCCCACTTCAGCACGGAGTGTGGGCTTCGCCCCTCAGAGGACGAGCTGGTTTCTACACCTCAGCGCACACACCTCCTCCTTCTGCAAATTCACTCCTCAGTTCCTCAGCCGGTCCCACTGGGCGTCAGTCCCATGATAAGCCCTGACTCCCATGGCGTTCCCAGAAGCTCTGCTCCCTGATCCACCAATCAAACCAAACGCACCAGTCCCCAAGGGGACATGGAGTGTCCCACATGGGATAGATTTTTGTGTGTTCTAATAAGGAGCTTCTTGAGGGCTCATAATGTCCTAAGTCTAAGAAGGCACAAATGGTATCAAAAGAAAGACAAGTTTGAAGAGCACACGTGAGTGTGTTTGGTTTAAAAATTTGCCTTTGCGCTCCTCACGCAGTGATGGGAGGCGGCTCCATGTACAATAGTTTGCTTTCTGTGGCCAAGTCACAGGCAAGCCTCCGTCCAACCTGTTTGCACAGGCCCGTGTCAACAGTCCTCTCTGCCCAGCGCCAGCTCACAGCCGCACCGGCTGGCGCACACCACTGGCGGACGGGGCTGGTCGCACCACACCCTGTGTCGGGGCGTTAGAACCCGACAAGCTCTTTGCTAGCAATGCTGAAAACATAAGATGCCAATCGATCCTTCAGGGGATTTCTCTGACGGTTAGATCATCTTCACTCTGCGACCCACGGGTTTCATGAGGCATCCCTTTACTCCTGGGCTGAAAGCAAAAATCCGGTTTAAAAAAAATAAAAAAACAAACGCCATAAAGTGTGCACATAAACTGTTTTATTGCTTTCTTTGTTATTTCATGTAGAGTCAATGTTTTTGAGTAATGGTCAGCTGTCCAGATTTCAACATTATTGAACATTCGAATAATAAAATACGCAGAAAAAAGCCCTCAACTGTTCACTCTTCTAAGTTATACCTGACGGAACAACTTGGGACAAAGGCGACTGGGCCTGTCACCTTTGTTTACGAAGAGAACTGCTGTCCTCTGACACGGGACACGGGGAGGAGTCCCAGACTTCAACCAAGGGACCAGGGCCTGGGGGCAGCGTGCCTGTCTTCCTTTGAAATGTCTGGGGGATTCATAATGACTCCGGATACAAGAGTCCTTCCTTTCACCTCAGGCTTAATCAAAAGAGTCAAAAGGAACTCCTATGGAATAGAAGAACTGGTCAGAACAGCGATTTTCAACTGGTGTGCCGCAAGAATTCTTAAAACACGCAGCACCTGACTATTTAGTCAGGGGCACCGACCCCTTTTCCCTTCGACTGTCAGATGAAAAAATGACAACAGCCAACACAACAATAACCATCCGGTGTGAATAAATCCAAACTATACCTATTTTTTTTGGTCAGGTCAGGAAAAAAAAGTATACATTTTTGGGGTGCCACAGAATCTTGTAATTGGTTTATGTGTGCCATGAGATGAAAACGGTGGAAAATCTCTGGGTTAGGATGACAAAAACCAGAAAAGATTCTCCTGTCAAGGACGCGGCATGTGCCCACGGAGGTCCTGACCCACCCCCCCGTAAGAACGCCACTGAGTCTGAGAGCACGCGGAGAGGTTGCTCACGGTGACCAGGTGGAACCGCAGGCGCGCGCTGCCTGATGAAGGCACAAGGTCCCCGTCATCCCGGGGGAGGGAGAGGGCTGTTGTATTGGGAGTTCGGTTCAAAACACACAGTCCTGCCTTCGAAAAACTGCTCTCAGCTGCCACACGTTTGGTTGCAACCTTAGGCTGATCTCTTTTTGACAGTCCCTAAATCTCTGGCATCCCTAAAAAACTCCTGAAGTGGCCTGTTACCTCTGCAAGGAGTCAGATTCCCGAGGGTGGGGAGGCTCACAGAGACACACAGCTGCATTATGTCGTACAGCAGGCAAAAATAAATACACAACTATAACGTGAGTATGAAACGCCACAAAGAAATAAATATCTCAGACTCCACAGCTGTGGGTTGCATGCTAGCAACACCTCAGAGAGTCTTAAACACGGTGATTTTCCCATCAAACTATCCATAATGACTTTGATTAATACTTAAGGACTAAGCAAAATAATGTATGAAAATACTATTTTTGTAAAAAACTTCATTAAATACCAAGAAGAGTGATCAAATTTAAGATGCTAAATTTAAATAAATCACTTGTGATCCTCCCTAAGGTCATCTGTGCCTTCCATGACAAAAGTCGACAAAGGCCAGCGGCTCGGCCCACCGGGGACACCGAAGGCGGGGGGAGGCACACCAACCCTCCTCGGAAGAGCCACAGCCCACGTCTTTGCCAGGGAGTCACCCGAGCCCTTCTGGCTTTACAGATGCTCTTCACAAACACAGTGATACTAAAAAAGGAAACATAAAGGTGCATTTATTCATGTCCATGCCATCTAAACCTACTGATTACAGTAATCAGGACCAACTGGAACCTAAACAACAACAGAAACACGGGGACATATTTGCCCCCCTGAACCGCGAGTTTTAGTTCAGGAGACTGTGTGCTGGCAAGCCAGTTTCCTCCCTGAGAAGCAGCTTCACGCTTCATTCTCTCCCTCCAGCATCTTCTGTCTCCCTCAATTAAGGCCTGGACAGTGTCAGGATGGAGCCGTGCCCTGCGAGGTGCTGTCAGTCTCCCACAGGCTCGGGCTGTCTGAGGTCGGGCTGTGGCCCGCTCTGCTCTGCCGCCCGCCTCTGCAGCTCCTCCACCGTCTGCAGCAGGGCTGACCTCTCCAGCTCCAAGGCAAGGGCAGCCTGTTTCAGCTTGCTCTCATTGGTCAGAAGCTTCTCAACTGTGGCTTCAAGGCTTTGGATCCTACCATTTGCCACCTGGAGAAGAGAAGAAAATATGACAATGTAAGTGCCCAGTGATAACACAAGGGGATCCGCAGTACATCCCCCTGCCCAGCCTTTGGGGAACTGTGGAGCCATACTTCAGCAGAGAGGAGTCTACTGTTTACTGTTTCTCTGGCCACAAAGGAAGACTACATTTCCCAGGTTCCCTTGCTGGTAGCTGGGGCCATCAGAGATCCTCCCCTGCTGTGGATAGTTTGGAAGCTGCACATTGAGAGGGTGGCTTCTCAGTGCGGAGGGAGTCCAATCTCTGAGTCACCCACTCCAGGGATGACAGCTCTGATCCGGCCAAAGGATGCTTCACGAGGAAGAGGTGGAGCTTCGGGGACAAAGAGACTTCTGTGCAAAGCCACTGAGACCTGGAGCTTTATTATTACTGCAGCGCAGCCTAGCCTACTTTGATGACCACATATACTTATGAGTGCAAACTGATTTCAAACTCACAGTCAAAAGGGATTCCACGTAAAGGCCCAAGAAGTAATCGCTCTCTAATCTGAGATTCTTTTTATTTTCCTTCTAGTAACAAGACATCACAGTGTCCAGGAGCCTGGCACTGCACCCGGACCACACGTGGAGTGCCCGGAACAGCCGAGTGTGCCGCTCAGAGCCTCACGTGCACAGTCGCTCAGACTGGTGGCCCCCGCCAGGGAGCCCAGCAGTGCCCTCATGTCCACCTGGCCCAGGTCCTCAGTAGCTGGCACAAAATTAATGTCAGGTAGGTAGAACTTCCGGGTGCTTCTCTCTCGGGTGCACTTGGGCACACTCCCCAGGGAACAAGTGAGTCGGCTCCACTGAAGCTGAGCGCTTTCCTGGGAAAAGCGCAGAAGCCCTGCGGTCCCGAGGCCTCCCTGGCCCAGGCCTCGGCTCACAGGCGCATTCCGCAGTGCCTGGCTCTCGGGGTCACCAAGGCTCTGCTCTGTCTCGGCAATCCGGCTCAGCCCTCAACCCACCCCCATTTATTTCACGTGGGAAACATAGCACATTTCCCCCCTCATTTGCAAAACAGAAGAAACAGTTTTCTGAACAAGATAACACTTGTGCCAGACAGACATCGCATGACTCAAAGTCTAGCTCTGGCTGTGCCCCTGCCACACTCTAAATAGAAGGGCAAAGGGCTGACATCCTAAGTTTGTCAGCCTAGCAGGTAGCAGGTGGTGCTTGTGTGAATCTCCATGCAGGACTCTATGATCCTCACAGTCCACCCACGGTCAAGGCCTGGGCCAGGGCCCACCTCGTCCCAGGAAGGACCACTCATTCTGAAGGCCCACACATTCTGAGGGGCACCACAGAGCTTAGCAGTGAGCTTTCTTACTGTTCTGCACCAGTGCCAGGTCCCCTCACTGGGGCTGGAGCTCCTGCACGGAGGAAAGCACGTCTCCTCCTGTGTGTGGGTCTGGCCCCCATGGCACCATGCCATGGGTACTCAGTGAGGTGTGGCTGATGGTTACGGGAACTGTACATCCGTTACTATTCAGCATCGCCTGGCATGTATGCTACCAGACAATACAGTTAATAGTTTGCTCTCTAGCAGCTAGACAACATTTTCAAGTGTTTAACAAGAAAATAAATGAGACTTTGGGGGAATAAATGGCCAGAACAAAGCTAGACACCAAATCAATTTTGATACTTGGGCAAAAAATAAAAAAGGATTTACGCTGGAAAATTAAGCATAGTGTTGAACACCTATGCTTGGACTCCGAAAACTGAAAGAAACAACCTGAGCAGGGGAGAGTCTCCCGGAGCTCAGAGCCTGGCCGGAAGACAGTGACCCCTGTGGCTCACAGAGGGTACCGGGAGGACTCTGCACACGCACCCACAATTCACGCAATCTGCACCCCAACTCTTTGAGAGCAGCAGTGTCTTACGGATCTCAGTGGCCCTGACAGCCAGCCTGGCAAAGGCTCAGTAAATCCTGGTGGGTGGGTGTAAGCTGCAGCCCGGCACAGCACCTCCAGAAATACGGAGCCACGTGGTCAAGAGAGAGAACACTCCAAGGAGAACATCTCCTATTACTATCACCGCCCGATGCCTTCCTTGAGGAATACAGACTCCAGAGCAGCTTTTCACACCTCCCTCTCTTCATAAAAAGGGACAGTGTCACAGAAGCAACATGAAATTATTCTCCGCCCGTCTGCACACACACACGCACACCCGGACATTCATCAGCCCAGCAAGGTGAACCTTCTGTCTGAGTACTGCCCGTCTTACCAAGCCGAGTGCTTCCAGTGCAAGCCTCGGCTTGTCAGAAATGCCTCCGTCCTGCGATACAGGGCCTGGCACAAATAACACCCCTGTTTTTTTATTGCGAAATCTCTTATTGTAAAATCGTAAGCGTGTAATTCCGTAACATAACAATATCACACTCAAGCACACTATATGACATTCTAGGTGAAATGTTCAAATTGCTGTCCATCTCGGGCAAGACATCCCCGTACCCTACAGACCACACTCAAGCAGACCTCGCTCCTGCTGGACCCTGGGTATCAGGGACCCACTGTTCATTTGGGAGGCATCTGAAACACCTGCCCTGCGGACCCCTGGACGCTGGATCAGGCTCCTTCTCTCCTCGAGCCCTCCCCACACGCAGCGGCTCGGAGTCCTGCAGAGGCTGCACCCGGACACACTCTCAGGGAGGACATCTCAATCTTGGGAGAGAAAAAGCAGCTAAATTTCCGAATGTGACAGGTAGTTAGGACTGGCTGGGGAGAGCATTTTTCTTTGTTCCTCTACAGTAAATATCTACTCAGTCTGTGGGGACAAACCCTGCTGAGAGAAAGGCATTTCAGACAAGGCTGATTTATTAGGCTCTCAAATGCTGGCCTTTCTCCTATCACCACCAAGCTCCTGTCTGCAAAGCGGCAGCTTCCTACAGAGAAAAATAAGAGTCTCAGATCAGGATGGAAAGCTTATTCTAAGGTCAGCCCAAGAACACCATAAAATACATACTTGTGGGGGAGGAATATGTGTTTTTCTCTGTAGAAACTAAAAAAAATTTTCTAAACACACCACAAACAATTCTGACAGCATCACCATCCATTTACAATGTTAGAAAAGCAGACTGCACGGTTCCTTTATTCCCTCTGGCTGGTAAAGGGGCTGTGTGCTGAGCAGTTAGGAATACCCTTGTGCTCGTCACACCCGTGAGGGGATCAGACAGAGCAGGTCAGCGGTCTGCCCGGGGTGGCGGCGTGGGTGGGAGACCGGGAAGGGCGGGTCTCCGGACCGCACTCCGGGGCGCTCCACATCACCCCTCCGCGTGCACGACCTGCGCCTGCCTTTCTGCAGCGGGTTCACCCACATGGACCCATGTTAAGACAGAAGCTTCTGGAGTGGTGAACTGGGTCCTTCATGCATCACACCTTGGTGGACGCACCAAGGACTCTGGTCTCGTTCGTGGTCACACACTGTGGTTTCTCTCTCGAGGGACATTTCAGGGCCGCTCTCCTCCCTCTGCCTCCCTCAGTGGACTGAGCCGGTTTGGCTCATGGAACCGCAAGCCTCTGATGCTCTCGTCATTACTCACAGCACAAGTGCTGGCGCTCAGCCACGAGCACCACATTGCCCTGAACCCAAGTTCATCTCTGGGCCTGTCTTCTGCTAACTGCAGAAACAGACCCTCAGCGAGCTCTAGGGCTGTCTGACCTCAGCAAAGGGCGAGCTGTCTGCTGCTGAAGAAGAGGCCCCCTCCTCCTAGGATTGCTTTGATCCCAACTACAGGCAGACCCGTGACGGAAAGGGCCTGCGGGCGTGGGAAAGCCCTGCCTGCCGGGGCCTTGGGCGAGTTAATGAACCACCCACAGACACTCGGTTCGGGACGCTGCCTCAGGAACACGCGCTACCTGCAGCTGTTCAAGGAGGTCAAGGTTCTGCTTGCGCAAGCTGCTGTTGGCTTTCTCCAGTTTGTCCATTCTTTGGTTGTCACTGAGAGGAGAGGAGTCGATAAGTTCTTCTTGAAGCACGTGGTATTCAACCTCATACGCTTGTAACTGCTTAGAAATGTCCATCTCGAACACCTGTGAAATGCAGAGACGTCATCAGGCACTGAAAGTGAGAAAAATCTCTCACACACACATACACACACGTACACGTGTGACCATGCCAACGAGCATCCACTGGCTGCCTGCCCTATGCCTGGTGCACTGGTGATACTTAAGGAAAACTTTGCACTGAGAAAGCAATAATTTGACTTGCGAAGAAAAGATATAAGCAGCACTGAGAAATAAACCTAAGATAACGGCAAGTGTGCATCTCTGATACTCATTTTCCAAAAGCCTCACAATAATTTATTCTGAGCTCTTATTCCAGTACGCATTTCCTTCTTCTCCGAATACCCTGCTGGGTCAGACACATCCACCGTGGGGCGGGGGGAGACAAAACAAAGGCTCACAGCCCGCTTTGCCCAGTCACCGAGTCAAAGTTTAATTATAGTTCAGCTGGGTTTTCAGAGTTACAAGAACAGCTAAGTAATGGAACTGTTTACTGAAAACCTTCTCTGCACACAGGACTTGCAGAAATGAGCCCAGACCCAAAAGTCACCCACACAGATGAGTGAATATGAAACAATGCCTGAGCGGCCTTCCTTCCCATAATAGTAACAGTGATGAAAAAACCACCCATGTGAAAAACAACTCCCAGTGCACGAGTGAGTGAGCTGTTCTCGTCTGGGCTTTGTCTTGGGGAGCTGGGCTGACGGAGGCAGGGCTGGAGAGAGGTCAGAGGGCAGCAGCAGCAGCTGCCCCAGGCGTCTCCGCTCCTTCCTGGTGCTGGTATGGGAGCGCCCCACGGGTGTGCCTCTCAGCACCCGCCATCGACCTGGGGCAGCCCGGGAATTCAGTCACCATAGAAAAAAGCCAGCATGATAAGAATGGACATTTATTGAAATGAAATTAGGCTTTCCAAGAGCAGAAGCCAACTCTTCACTGTACTCTTCCTTAAGAAAGAAAGACCAACAGAGTTAAAATCAATGAAAAACTCATTGCCCCTGACGGTACTCATTAGCATGCAAATGCCAGTGTGTCCTATCTTCCCCGAAATCAATGTTCAAAAACCATGTTTACTTTCTCACCATTCATAACCATCTTAGTTTGCCTTCCCTGAGGTTAATTTCTCAGCTTCCTGGTTTTCAACTTAATTCAATGGCTAACACTAATTAGGCACAAAAGTTGTCCTGTGCTGAAGTACTAATGCACATTGTATTCAGGGCATGTGTGTGAGCAGTTTACCGTAAGGACCGATGCTCTGCTGTCCCGCAGAGTGACCGGGAGGTCAACAGAGATTAGCATCTCTATTTTCAGTCATGGAAACGGACTCTGAGGCTTTGACTGAGTCTTGAATCGGGGCTCCACTGGCAACTCCCTGAATGACCTTGAGCAAGGCACTTGACCTCTCCCAGGATCAGTACGTGGCCTCCAGCAGGGGGACGACCTCCCCACACTGCTGCGGGAGTTACACGAGACAAGAGACAACCTATGGAGGTCCCCAGTGCACGCCCGGCAAGTTGAGAAGGCGGGTGCTCTCTGAGCTCAGGGAGCTGCTTCCACACACTTGCTGTGAAACCCTCGCATTCGACTTCGTGCCTCGGCCAAAGCACGAGGGATGCCGTATCACAGAGCTTCTGAGCAGCTCAGAGAGAGTAAAAAGCACCAACATGAAACCCGAAATTGCCGTGGCATTAGTGTGTGATTAGAAATATGGTGCAGAATAAATGTCACACATACACTCTGTTTTCCCCCACCAAGATTTATTTTTAAAGGTGGTCCTAACCTGGAAAACTGGGAAACGAAACCTCTCACCTTTTACAGATTGATGATCTGCCAAGGTTAATGGCTCTCAACTGTGCCCAAAGCTATAAACTCTTTGGGGGTAGAGGGACCCCATTAATACCTAGGAACCTTCCCCGGTCGTAATCATCTCTGCTTAATTGCACCATTATCTCCTGGCTGCCAGAACACTAGAGCCCTCGGATTTTGCAGCTAAGCCCCAGAATTGATCCCAAGCCACGGCGGCATGTGGTTGGCGGCACAAGGGGCCCCGGTCCTCAGACAACGCCTTTTTGAGTCGCTCCACATTCTTCACAACCGTAACTAGAAATGGCTTCACGCTCTTCTACCAACTCGACACATCACAGCCACGCTAATCCACCCGCAAGTGTGGGCTCTTCAGTTACTTGCAAATTTTTGTTGTTATAAATGACAACTCTAAACATCCTTGTACATATGGCTTTCCCCATATTTTGGACTGTTTTCTAAGGATGCATTCCAAGAGATGGGATTACTAAGTCAAAGGGTATGAATATTTTACTGGTTTGTGAGACGTGTTGCCAAGCTGCTTCCCAAATGGGAACAATCAGCGCACACAAAGCATCAGCAGCACGCGTGTGTGCCAGACAGAGTATGCCCTCGGCACTGCGCATTGGCATTAAAAATTCCATTTGGTTAATCTAGTCAGTAACGCATTATATATTATTTACATTTAAGTTATGCACGAAGCTAAATATTTTCCCAGATACTGTTTACTAGCTGGATCTCCTCTTCAGGGAACTGCCTCGGTTCTTGGCTAACGTGCTACTGGAGACTCGGCGTTTCCCTTTGCAGGCCGTGGACACCCTGTGTAATGGAGCCATGGACCCTGGCGTCTGCACAGCCAGCCACATCCCCTCCCTGCCCCTGCCCCAGACCCTGCCCCCATCTGCTGGTCGCAGTGGCACCCCAAAGGGCAGAGAGTGGAGCAGTCAGCCCAGGTACGGGGGCGAGGTGTCTGCACTGAATTTAAAAACAATAATAAACCCAACTAACAGCTGGTCTGCTTTTTATTACCACCACATGCGAGGAACCCTAAACAATGCCAGTGGTAAAGCAAAGTATCCCTCCCACCCCACCACACCCTCTGGGTCTGGCACGGCTGGGCCTTCTACAAAAGCACTCATTTTCAACACTGCAGACTGCTCAAACGGCGAGGGCTCCTGCAGACTGCTCAAGCGGCGAGGGCTCCTCGCAAAGGCAGAAGGGGCAGCCTGGCTGCCGATTTTGAGGAGCACCTTCTGAACAAAGGGACCTTGTTAAGATTCTGGTTTCCACCCTACAAGCTCAACTTTGTCTAGTGTGTTTACACTGACATTGCCCAGAGCAGAGCTTTTCAAATGGTCCCCAGTGTGTGAATCCCCCGGGGATCTTGTTAAAATGCAGATTTTGACTCAGCAGGTCTTAGGTGGGGCCCCAGATTCTGCATTTCTAACCAGTTCCTACATGATACACTGACAGGCTGGGGCCATCTTTGAATGGAGCCTGAAGGATGCTGAGAACAGGCCATCGGCCCTGCCTCCCAAAGCCCCCCTGCGACACCCTTCTCCTTCCTGACTCCGAACTCGGGCTGCGTAGGCAGACGACACTCACTATGACAAGAGTGCAAACCTGAGGTTCTCTTAGTTTCTGTTTATTCCCAGGGCTTCCCCTCTTCTTGGGTCAGGGATTTTTATGGCTTATGTTCAACTGACAGTTAAGTCACACTGAGAAACTCCACAGAGCCTTCAGAGACCCCTGTTCCCCTGTCCTGGGCTCTCAGGTCTGCACCTGCTCCTCCGTGGCCGCTCCGAGGCGCCTGTCCGCACTGAGCCAGCGCTCCAGGGCCCGGTCCTTAGCTGCTTTCCCTCCCATCCCACATGCAGGCTGTGTCCCAGCTGCTCAAGCCGAGAGGGTCCACAGAGAGGACATTTAATGAGACGGAGCCAAGGCCATCACCCAGGACACCCTGGACTCTGCCCATCCATGCAAAGGGCAGTTGTTTGCAATGACTGTGTTGCTTCTATCTCATCTACCCTGTGGCCCTCCAAGATTCGAGCCTTGGGCTCTCTCAGGCTGCAGAGGAAGCGTGCTGGGCCTCTGGCCTCAGCCTAGGACTTGAGATTAGAGCTCCCTCTGGAGGGGAGAGGGCAGTAAGCATGACAGAGATGGCAAGTTCCAGATGGAAAACATGGGAGAAAAGAGGAAAGGGCCATCTGACATTCTAACAGTTTCCCATCAAGCCTTTTGGCAGAATAAAAACCCGGGCACCAAAATGTAGACTTTTGTGTTCCCCACACAACTCCTGAGTCCTCAACTACCGCACTCACACAAGCCAAACACGGCAGGCACCTGGAATTTCCCTCTGTTTCCTCACCCCTGTGCCTTTGCATACGCTGTCATCAGGGGTCAGCACACTATAGCCTATGGACCCAATCTGTCCCACTGCCTGTTTTTGTAAATAAAGTTTTATTGCAACACAGACACTTCATTCCTATACATATTGTCTATGGCTGTTTCTGCACTGCACAGGCAGAGTGGAGAGGTTGTGCTGGGGACCTCGCAGCCCCAAAGCCTCCAGCCGTACTCTCCAGCCCTCTACAGAAAGCATGTGCTGGCTCCTGCCTTGCCTTACTCATTCAGCCCAGCTGACCCACGAGCCTTCAGTTCCCAACCATGAGCACTCGCTCGCCCCTCCAGACCGGCTCCCTGAGCCTCACACCAGCACCACCGCAGCTCTAACCACATTTGTGGTGACTGGACTGCATGCTTATTTGCTGCACAGGGTGGGCTCTGGTGTTGGACACGGTATATCCTTGGCTCTGCCACATAACGCAGGGTGTGGGCATGTTACTCTCTCCACGCCCAGCGTTAGGTGGGGATTATAATGCTCCAGAGTTGTCTAGGAGTCAGTGGTCTAACAGCTGCCAAGTTCAAAACAGCTGCCAGAAACAAATCAGGTGCACCCAGAGCTGCTCTCTCCCCATGCTGTATCCATGTCCGTTCTTCCAACATTTAAAGAGAACCCGATTACCTCCATAACTACCTTTGCAGAAAAGGGGAGGAAGATGGTTTTTTTTCCTAGAGCACAGTATCCAGGAGGTAAACCGAATGTCGGCTGAGGCTGCCTGCCCTGGAGCCAGGAGCAGCGCCAAGGTGTCCACTGGACACAGCCTCTGGTCTAGGCGACCGAGGCTCTGGGTTTGCCTGGCAGCCATAACACACAAGTCCATGCAATGGAAGCCCCGAAAAGGAATAAAAGCACACGAATGCCAGAAATTAAAGTATCAAAAGGGTAGAGAATTTGGTATTAACATCCAGGTAAAAGAGAAAAATTCTGTAACGAAACGACACCCAGAGGTACTTGTGCGTGCTGAGTAGCTGCCAGAGCACTCTAAGGCCAGGGCACCCAGGTTTAAGGCCTCTCTCCATTCTGCAGCAGGGTGACTATGGGCCAGTTCACTGTCCACTGAGCCCAGGGCTCCTCGTGGGTTAAAACCGCCTCGCCTCGCAGGAGTGCAGTCGTGATCAGATGAGATCATGTGTATTTATAGATTCACACAGAACCTGGCAAAAGTAGGGCCTCAGCAAGCCAGAGATATTTACATACAAAGAGACGTGCCAGGGACATAAAACACAGAGTGAGGCAGAGCCTTTCAATGAGCTGAAGACGAAGGTGCAGAGGGGAGAGCCGCTCTCTCGGAGAGGCGCAGGAAAACGTGCGAGAGCCACAGCGGGACTGGGCGGGACGCCCGCCCCTCCCCGGGCCATCCCGCTCCTCCTCTGCGCTCAGCACCTAGGGCCAGGCGGCACAGGAAATGACAGACTCTGCACCTGCGTGCGCAGCCTCGGAACCACTGGACTGACTCCTCTTGGACTCTCAGAAATCCTCAGAATAAAGGTTTTTTTTTTTGTTTTATTTTGCTATTTGTTTTTGCCGAATTGCTGTATGTGTTCATCCTATTTGCAGCAGGTGAGGTAAGTTCTAGGCTCTGAGCGGCCTGGCCGCTGACTCTGCAGTGCCCCGAAGCCACCCAGCCTCTGGGTGCCTCCAAGGCAGCCCCGCCCTCTGCCACGCAGCTCAGGCATTCGTAGTTGGCAATCGTTATTAGAAGATTCTTCCTTAAACAGAGTCCAGATCTCCTCCCATCCTGAATCTAGACCATTCCACAACTGATCAAGTCACTCCTCGCCCTGAACACTTCAGAGAGTGATGGTTCTGCTGCACCCAGAAACCAGAGGTGCTATAATTGCAGAGGTGGGAGGGACTTCTAATAAGACACACACCATGGAATAAACTGACATAAAATATATATGCTCTATTATAACTTTGCTATGAAAGAGTCATTTTTAGAAAATAGTATTTTCAGCAGAAAAATAAAAAAACTTATTCTACAGAAGCCAACATTAAATAAATGTATGTATTTTAGAAGAAAAAAATGACTAGGGGTGAAACCTCTTAATTGTAAGAGATTGCTAATCATCTGTGCTGGTTATCACACCTAAACACTGCTGTGGTGTTTCCGTGACACATTTATACTCGCAACACACATGCACACTCACATGTGCATTTAACCACTAACACGTATTTGCGATGTGACTCCTACATGCCAGGCATCATGCAAGATGCTACCCGGAATACAAAATGGTAGGAAATAGGTCCTGCTCAAAATAATAGTAATAATAATAATAATAATAATAAGTTTCTACATATGGAAGCTTCTACATGTGGAAGCCTTTTGAAAGGTTAGGACTGAATCGTACCTGATTGATTGTCTTTTCCATCTGCACCAAGCCCAGGTTGGGCAGCGTGTTCTTGATAAAGTCAACTATGGTCTCTAGGTTTTCATGCTGCAGAATCAAGGGCTTATGGCTTCCCAACAGACTTAAAGCCACTTTAAATATGACCTCCGTCCCCTGAAGAAAGATCATATCTGGGAAAACACAGAAATGCAGATAGTTAAGCCAGACCCGTCTGTAATGAGAGCCCACTCGTTTCCCTCCCCACAGCTCTGAGGGCCGGGCTGAGGGGCACGTGGTCCCAACCTGCCAGCTCCACTTCCTTTGCAAGAGCCGAGTGTTCCAGATGGGGCTGTCCAGACACTGTTGCAATTAATGAAAGAAATATAGGCAAATAGATTGCTAGGGTTTTGTCACAGGTTTAGATAATTTTTTTTACATTTGCTCCAAAAATATATTAAATTCAAACATGTTTCAAAAGTTAAATTGAGAAAAAAACTTTGTCATTCTATTTTTGTAGGAATGCTCTAGATTTCAAAGGAGTTACTAAAACATGTTTTTATGAGTAAAACACAGGCTTTTAGATATACAGCATCAGACATATAGCATTTAGATACAAACATTTAAATATACAGCATGAGATAAAGTAAAAAAAAAGCCTGCTTCCTCTATTTTGAAATAGATTGAATTAAAAGATCTCTGAAGGCTGTAAAATGTCTGTTGAGCTCCAAAAGTACATTGTTAAATACAAGCACACTGAATGTCGGCTGAATAATGGAGTAAAAATCATCTTCCTTAGAGGACGTCCAAGAACACTGCCAGAGTAACTTTCTAGCTCTTGCCCTATTTTCCCCCGTGTTAGCAAGCCCCACACTGACTGTACACAGTGAGAGAGAGGGCATGTGGCCAAGGCAATGGGGTGAGCAGCCAGCCCAGCCCCGGCTCCCGTTCCTCAACAGGGTTGACGCCACTGGCGAAGGAGAATCCAAGTGTCCTAGGGCTAAGGCAGAGCCCTAGTAACTAACAGTCAGGTGACTAGATTCAGGCAGGTTACCTAAGAACTGGAATAATATATATGCATGTATATATGTATATGTATGTGTATATGTGCATATATATATGGAAAGATACTACAGGATAATGGAAGAGACAGAAGGTATGCACTTCATCAAGCCAAGGAGGACAAAAGAAAGTGCGGGGAAGAATCCCCAGCGCTGTGCCTCTGTGCTCACGGGAAGGGCGTCGGGTCAGAGCCGTCTGTGGACAGCGCACAGGCTAGACCTCGATGCCCACTGGCAGATTTGCCCTGCAAATGTGTGTGACCTTCACGAAGACCTTAACCACATGAGCACCCTCGGTGCCGGCTTGATCACAACCCTGAGCGATGCTGCTGCTGAGCCCAGCCTGCCCCTCTCAGAGCTCAGGGCCACGGTTCCCACAAACTTCACAGCTAACTGCTTGTGGCTCGGGGCGGCCCCAGGGAACCAGGAAGTTCCGACGGCTGCCTCCCCCCTTGGTTTGGCAGCAGAGGCTGGAAAGATAAATTAAAGAACTGATCTCTGAATGCTGAGCGGTGCTATGGGAGAACTGTCCTGTGAAATGTCTGCTTATAAAATATACAGCTTTCCCATGTAATTCACCACTATAGAAAGTAAAAAAAGATCTGAAATACCACTATAAACAAGATGTATTTTTAAACAGAAAAGATATCTCCAAAAAAAAAAAGTAAATTTGAAGAGTCTGTGGCTTAGACACTAAGCCTTCCAACATTCATAGCTGAAGAAAAACTGATGGCATTCATCAGAATAAATAACTAAGGCGTCTGAGGCAGGGGTCCGGGGAATGGACTGTACTTCCAGACTTGCTGCGGCTCCATTCCTTCAGCCTCTGAGGGGCAGACACCTTAAAACCAGATACAGCGCCACGTGTGGTGGTGAACGCACACTACACAACATACAACTGATAGATTATGGCACTGTACGCTTGGAACTGATAATGTTATTAACCAATGTCACCCTAATAAATTCAACTTAAAAATTAGATACAGTGCCACATCTAAGGGAATTAAACAATCAGTGGGGAACTTTCTGAGCATAATCAAATATGTTATCCATACTGGCAGTCTCTTAAGGTTAACAATGAGTCTTCCAAGTTTTCACAACAAACTTGGTTTCTATAACAAATCTGATTAGTGCAGTGCTTCCTATGATTCTAAACTCAGACTTTTCCGGACTATAAGAAAAAACAAAAGAAGTTTGGAAAGGTTTTTCTTTTTTTTTTAAAGCTCTCTTCATTGGTATGCTAAAAAAACAAAATAAAATGTAACTCTGGATATGTTTATTGAATTGGGTCTAACGGTCTGTATTTAATGTAGCACAAAGGAATAGTCTTTCCTAATGCTATTCTCAGCACCTTAAGAGCACTCTTACCTGCTGAGATGTTTCCCTAATTTAAGTTCACAAGCATTCACTGGGCATCTGATAAATGCCAGGCATTGTACTGGCTCCTGGGGAATCAGTCACGAACAAAGACCAAACTGCAGAAGCACTATGCCTAGGCAGTTTGGAGACCAAAAGGGAAGAAACAAGTCCAAGGAAAGGTGGTGGCCAAACTCAGTCTTGAAGAACCAACAGGAACTTGCTAGGTGAGAAATCAGGGAATAAGCAACACTCGGAGCAAAGGGAAAGCGTGTGAATGCAGACAGGCGTTAATATAACCACAACAGGGAAGGGAGCGTGGGGCGAGTGGGGTGGGTCCAGAGCTCCAGCTGCAGGCAGAAGGGGGCCTGGTCCCCAAGGCTCGGGGCCAGGTCCTGCCACTCTAACTTCACCCAGAGTGCAGCCGCGTCACCAAAGCAACCTCTGTTCCTTTTTTTCTGAGTGGGCTGGAGCACTGGTCAGAAGCTGATGTTAACAAGATCCAGGTTATAGGTCTGATCCTAACTAACCCTTAAGGGGGTTAGTTAGCTTCAGAGAGAGAATGCCACCTCCTGAAGTGCCAGCACCAAGACCATGCTGACCCCCACAGCATGCTCACAAGTGCACGCTGCCAGCTGCCTGCTCCTTCAGCACTTCTGGGCGGCCACGGCTGGCGCCTGTCCTTCTGAAGACAAGCCGGCCGGTTACCTGCCCTCATGAGCCTGCCAGAGCCCAGCCCCAGGAGCTCCTGTCAGACTGGGGAGGCCTCAAGGAAGGAGTTCGCTCGGGTGCGCGAGGAAGGTCTGTGCCAGCAGTGTTGGAGGAAAGCCCCCTCAAAGTTTGAAACTCACTGCCCCAACCCAATTATTTTCATTTTGCCCATTTTCCAACCCTTACATATTTACATTCTGAAATTTTTTTTTTAAGAAAACAATAATCTTCTTGGAAAAGTAATTTAAGTTCCGACAGTTGCAAGTCACTGCACAAGAACCTGCTGGACCACCCAGCTCACAGCACTGGCTGGCTTCCTTTTCCTCCCCTCTCTCAAGCCACCTAGAAACAGGCGAAGGCTTTTAACAGGCAGGAAGTAAAGGGAACCTTAAATTCAGCTGACTCCACCACTTTGCAAATTATTTGCTGAGAACAACTCAAAGCTCTTTCTTTTGAAGACACTTGGCCAGCCCTGTTATTGTGCTAATGGGTATGGGAACTCTTTGAAACTCCCCGTGATGCACAAGGGCAACCTTCCTGTGGGTGGGGGCACCGATAAACACTCAGCACAGGTCAGTACAGTGGGCGAACTTGTACCGCAGCCCTTTTCCAGCCACCTTTGTCTTTGTCAAGGGCACTCACTCTCCTTAACGTCCTCTGGGAGGCTGCAGTCCTCCAGCTGCCACACCCCACGCTCCTACCAGGAGCAGGGAGGAGGGAGGTGAAAGATGGTGACAGCCTGAACCGATCTGGTGAACACTCGCTTCATCACCACTGCATCGCGTCACCGGAGAGCACTTTTCCTGGGCTGTGCAAACGGTCTAGTTTGCACGGTCTATTTCAGTCCTGGGCCTCTCCGAATCCTTCCCTATGTCACAGGGGGCTTCTGTGCTTTTTGCCCAACCCTTGGTTTTTATATTCTACCTCCTCTCTCACCTACTTGGAAGCACACCCTACACAAAGCTTCAGGAGTCTCCTCTTCCACTAGGAGCAAGCCTGGTCCTTTTTTCCTCAAAGGCAGACACGATTAGAAAGGGAACAGAGCCAGCATCTTCCAGGGAGCCCTCTACACCCAAACTAGAAAAATACGGAGGGAGGGGGAGGCTATTTCACACGATGTGACACCCAGACAGGAGGGCTGACATTCAGAAAAGTGTGATTATCAGGCGCCTTAATGGTGAACGGTAAGACACATGCCTCACTGGCAGCTGTCCCTCCAAGTAGCATATACTTAATTAGAGGTCGCCTATTAATTAATACATGAGCTGTGCTGACTGTAAGCTGAGAACCCTTTACTTACATATAAAATAGCGAATAGTTAACAAAGGCCCATCTGCCTTTAGGGGGCACCTAGGCCTAAGGACTTATAAGGAAAGGGGCTTTCAGACCCAAAGAGACTGCGGTGCCTGGATCGCAGGCTCTGGATCTACAGCTGAGCTGTCCACTGGTGCGGAGCCAGACAGACAGGGTTCAGGTCACCAATGCTAAGTACACAAATGGTTTTCTTAAAAAATACCTTTTCTATGGAAACTGCTCACAAAATTGTTTTTAAGGATGGACAGATGGAATGGACTGGGCAAAAAAACCAGCGTTATTTTGCAAAATGACCTCACAACCCAGCGCTGCCTTGAGTCCCTACTTCCTGCCTACAGTTCGGGGAGCCCCGGGCCCTGGGCCAGCAGGACTGTGCTCGGCGTACAGGGGTCCGCGAGGCCTGGGAACGACAAGGACACTAACATCTTTATGTGCGGTTTTCACAGATAATGGATGAGGAACTCCGGTGGCCAGAGTGGACTACAGAACACAGCGAGAAATATCCACCTTTACAGTGCCCAGCTTCTATTTTTGAAGGCAGCAGGATGAGCTTCACAGAGTTCCGAGTGTCCATTTCCAAGGCAGTTTGCTCGCTTGTTGTCAGTGCCTCCTGCCCGCCTACGCAGGCTAAGGCATGATGTTTTCCTCAGAGGCGAGGCCCTCGAGCCCCGGAACTATCTGCAGCTGCAGAGCCTCCCGCCAGGCATGGCGACAGCTCAGCTCAGCGGTGGCCCTCCTGTGCAGTCCCCTGCACTCCGTGATTTGATGCATGAGCTGTTTCCAACCAGCCGCAGCCTTCCCTCCCAGCCCTTCAACCTGCACTCCTCCCCAGCACCGTGTGGAAAACCCGGTAACGGAGCAGGAGGGGAGAAAAGGTAAGTGAGTGGACTAAGGATTCTCTCTGAATTTCCGGAGTGAGGAAAGGAAAACACCCTGAAATTTTGGGCAAGAAAGACCAAAGCCTCCGGCCAGAGATCTTAGGAGTTTCTGTGACTCTCTTCTTCGTAAGCTGAGCAGACAATTTTGAGGCTTTTAGTTATTTTTTTTAAACTATAGTATAAATCCTTCAAGAAATCTCACTATTTAACCAAGAAGAGAGTATCTATTTTCTTCTTTCGAACGTCCTCTTTTTAGGGACAGAAACTGAAAATCCACTTGGGGAAAGAAACAGTTATACAAGAGCGGGGCTGGTGAAGATTTTAAGAACATAGATTCTTCTAGTAAATCCAAATGGGAACTTCTGAAGCGGATAATAACAAAAATCTAGTACTTCAGGGGTCGGGGGCGGCAGGGGGGCGGGGCATGAGAAGACAACTTAATATGATGTTCAAAAGCAAGTTTTAGCATTTCTACAATTTGGATATTCAAGCTGTCTACCCAAAACTGCCTAACACAGTGTTCTCTCAATGTTAGTGAACATCCCTTTCAAGATGCTCCCTAATTCTAAAAACAAATCTAAAAAAGAGTGATAGGGTTATAGGTCTTTAAAGCTATCAAGTGACTGAATATAAAATACACTTTAAAACCACTTGAAATTGGGACGACCAGCGTCACAGGCCAGGGAGACTGAGAAGGACGAGTCCTGACAAATGGCCCCTAGAGTGTACCCGGGCTCCCTGGCCGAGGCTCTCGGCTGTCCGCTCCAGGGGGAGCGCCTGGTGGCGAGGGACTCGAGTCCGATCCCACGAGGTGAAGGCGCGTGGGGAGTCGGGTGGTGGTGAAACCCAACCCCAAGGAAACGCAGAGTGCTGGACAGCACCCTGCTCTGTGGAGGACACGGGCAGAACAGTAAGACGACTGGCTGAGGAGTGACCGCCCACGGTTCTCATCCCCCACGAGAACGCGGGTTCTGCCAGCCTCACACACACTCACCGAAGACTCTGGCCACGAAGCCCAGCGGAAACTGGGAGGCAAACACGGTGAGGAACCAGGGGGCGGCGTAGAGGCTGGGGCCGATCTCGTGCTCCTCCAGGTGGCTGTGGAGGTCCCTGTGGTAGTCGTGAAGGAGCCTGGAGAGCTGGTACATCTGGATCTGCGGGGACGCACACACAGTGTCAGCGCTCGCTGTCTGACAGGAGTGGAGAACTGTCAGAACTTGGAACGTTCTATGTGGCTCATGGTGTCGTTCAACCTCAGCTTCTCATTTATCCACCAAGAGCCTCCCGGGCGCCTTCTGCATGTGAGGCCTGGCTGGGTGCAGGCCCAGAACAGTAACGCCGGGTCTACCATCTCTTCCTTTCTTCCTACGGTGCCCTTGTGTCCTTGGCCGAGAGAAGCTAAACTTCCATCTCGTGGAAGCACTTCATAAATTCTCTTCCAAACACACACTCCTAGCAAAACTCAAACCCAGGGGAAGTAGCAGTGGGACGCCAGCCTCCCTGCTGGGAGTGAAGGGAGCGCATGTGAGGACTCTGCCCACGGACTTCACTGTATCTGCTCAGTCAGTGGACTCCCCCTGGGCCCCCACATGACTCATGAGGCTGGATGAGTGGGATTTCTGTGGGTTCACAACATGTAGTAGACAGATCCCAGGTCCAGGGCAAATTACAAAAAGAAGTGTTTATCTCAAGACGGAACAAACAACTTTTCCAGCTGAAGTTGAACTTCACCATAAAGGGCTCCCTCTCCTGGGAGGAGGCCCCAGCGCTGGGAGTTCTGTGGCCTGAGCCCGGGGCAACGCCAACCTAGCGGCCGGTCTCTCCCGAGACGCTGCAAGTCGGATACGCGTGGTCCGAACCGGGAAAAACCGGTTCCAGGGCCAGACAACATGGTCCCCTGAAGTACCAGCCATGGCTTCTGGATTTGAAAGATTCTAATCACCACGGCCACGAGCCTCCCCCGAAAGCTGTGTGTTTACAATACTGAATTATATGCTCATAAAACTTGAAAATTCTGCTCCCTTACATGGCAGGTAGTACTACACTAAAGCCAATGGGAAGAAAGTGGGAAGAACATGACAGTAGGTATGGAAAGTGTTATATGGGTTAAAATCTTTCAGTGAGTGGAGTGGCTTCCTTTTGTAAGGGTCATGCCCACGGGGCTCCTATTCACAGGTGGAGGTGAACTGGATGTTTAATAACCACACAGTGTGGCGCTCTAAAGAGTCCTCAGTGCTCGTGTACACTTTCCAATGACACTTCACTGGGGCTCTGAAACCACAGTACCTCGCTGGCGAATGAACACACAAACATGTGCCCAACATTTAGGAGTATTTCTCAAGCAGAATGCAGAGTTATCCCACTTCTTAAAGGTGGCAGTCGGCACTTGGCACTTAAAACACACTGCTGTGTTTACTTTTCTTTGGATATGACCTCCCTCTTGTCACTCATTCATTTAACAAATACTGTCCTGGCTGATGTGGCTCAGTGGACTGAGCGCCACCTGAGAACCAACAGGTCGCTGGTTCAATCCCCAGTCAGGGCACATGCCTGTGTTGCAGGCCAGGTCCCCAGTAGGGGGCACACCAGGGGCAACCACACATTGATGTTTCTTTCCCTCTCTTCTCCTTCCCTTCCCCTCTCTAAAAATAAGTAAAATCTTAAATTAAAAAAACAAAAACAAATATTGACTGGGTCTCCACATCACCCGAGGCACTGCTGTTCTAGGAACTGCGGACGCAGCTCCAAGACAGGTACGATCTGTCGTACATAGGCTTTCATAACATAGGCTAAGGAGAAAGTCAGAAAATAAACACATAAGCAAACAAGATAATTTCAGGCAGTGAGAGTGTGATACAAGAGAAATAAGGCAGGCTATCGTGATCCAGAGTTCCTGGGGTAGAAGTCGGGGGACGTACATCTCTTGGGACGTGATATGTGAGCTGACCCCTGGATCCCCGGCACAGAAGCAGCAGACACAGCAGGAGGCAGCAATTAGGTAGTCTGAAGATGCTTTGATGGGGAATAAAAGGGAGGGCCCTAGACTCAGCCAGGCCTGGATTTAAATCCCGACACAGCCACTTGCTAGCTACATGACCTGGTCAAATTTTATAACCTTTCTGAGTCCTAGTTTTCCTACCTATAAATTGAGCCAATGAACAGCATGTTCCTCAGGGTTAGTGAGGAGAGGAGCATCTATGAAACACTTGCTGTAACACCAGCAGAGAGCAAGTTCTCAGCAAAGATCACTGTTACAATGATAAATGCTGGTGGCAAAGCTCCTCCGTACAGCACGGGGAATACAGCCAATAACACTGTGCTAGCTACACATGGTACCAGCTAGCTGCTGGAAATATCGGGGTGAACACACCGTAAGGTATATAACTCTCTAACCACTATGCTATACTCCTGAAACTACTACAAAATAATACTGAGCATAAACTGTAATTTAAAAATAAAAATTTAAAAAGAAGAAAAAGATCCTTAGCTACACCTGGAAAGGAATCATAAACATTTCGACATGTGTCCCCATCAAAGACATAAGGAGCATCTACCTGCAAAATAATCATGTCTGGCCGGTACTGTTTCCGCAGTCCCCTGTCAAACATCAGAAACTTGAGCATGTGAAATGCCTCTTCCTCTCCCATGTGAAGCAGCAAAATGCCTGCTACAAAGCTGAGGCCTTGGCAATATCCCACTTCCTGGTCCAGAAGCGAGTAGGCCTTCAAGATGTTGTAGAGCGACAGCTGCCCCGCTCCCAGCTGGGCCGAGAAGTACGGATGTGTTGGAAAGGTTCGCCCTGTGAAAACAAAACACGCAGTCGTAATTTTAGAAGAGAAAGCCTGTTGAACCAGGAACCTGATGGGCTTCAGGGTAAAGCAACAGCTCTTTAGAAGCTGGATATTATAAGTCAGCTCTGCAAACAAGGTCATCTGGCTGTTCTTGGAATAATGTTTGCAATGACCACTTCGGCGAGTACTTGTGCTGTTGTGCGGTGCAGGAAATCAGAGCTACCTGAGGTCCTACAGATACCTGGATTCCAATCGAAAGCAAAAAGAGAGCTGTCGGTCCCCTACACAGAGGAGCAGGCAGCTGTGGTTCTTCAGCAGCGCCTGTTCCCGCAGCATCTAAAGGCGGCCAAAGGCCCGGCCTGGCGACACGATCTTGGATCAGCTTTCCCCATGCTGCCCGTGTGGTGCCTGCCGGTGCTTCTGGCCACACGTGTTATTTCTGTACTTTTAAACCACAGGCAGTAGTACTCTGAAACAGGCTGAGGAGCAGGTGTTTCTTTTACACAAAACAGGGACCTTCCTTCCAGAAAGAGGTTATAAAATAAGTTCTCAACATCCTGATTTACACAAAAAGCTGGTTTTCAGAGAAGGTTTAAAAACTTCTTTTGTCTGGGAGGCCTTTGTGGCCGATACCTGTCAAACCCGGCCTTGTCCTGTCCTCCTGGAATGTGGCTGGTGGGGAAGTGGGTTTCCAGGGTACAGAGAAGTGCCTGATCTGGGGGAAAAATGCTTGGCCAGGGCCAAGAGTGGACCCAGGTGAGCATCCTGGCCTCGTCTGACTGACAGAGGCAGAAGGTACATGTCGGCCACAAGTTAATTGTTTGGCTTAATTGTTCGGCCAAGAAAAAAAAAAAAGGCATACTCCTGCTCTTCAGCCTTGTAAGAAAGCATTTCTCAATCCAGAGCAGTTTATCTTAACTTGAACAGCAGCAGTCCCCTTACTACCTTCCTGATTCCTCGTCCTGCATTCATTCCTTGCATGCTTTACCTTTTGTCCCCACAAATGTTCCCAAAACACACCTCACACATGTCATCCCACTGCTGGAAAGCAACTAAGAGCTCCCCAGTAGAGCTCTGCACACACACCTCCTCACCTACTCTCCCAGCTTCACCCTCTACCCTGCCCCGCCCCAGTCCTGGGGGGCATGCACAGCACCACTCTCTGTGGGTCTCAAACAGGTGCAGGTGGCAGAACACGCAGAGGTCTTGTGGCATGCAGGAACACCAGGAAAGGTTTAACTGACTTTAAGTTGAATCCTTCAGTGTTAGCATTTCTGCTCATCAGAGACCCTCATACCGATGCCACACCACACAGAAACAAGGCTCACACTGCCTGGCCCTGCTTGCAGAGAGGACAGTTCTCACTCAACAAGGTTCCTAAGAGGATGCGCAGGCAGCCTGGAAAGTGACTTTTGCCAATGTGGCCACTCAACAGGTGCCAGATGTGGGGAAGGGCCTTCATGGCGTGTGCCCTGCGCAGCCACACAGGCTCTGTGCTCCGGGGGGCCTCGTGCTGGTTCAATGCTGTCGCCACCTTGAAATTCTTAATTCAACAGTGGGCTCTGCATTTTCATTTGTAACTGACCCTGCAAATGTGGTGCCCTGTTTGGGGAAGAGAGCTCCCTAGGCAGCCTGCAGCGGTGGTGACATCAGTCTTCCCCGCGGCCTGCTCCTGAGCAGCATGTTATTTGAGAGCAAACCTTAGGTGAAACTCTGCCAAACATATGACCTTAATCAGCAAGCCAGCATGAAACAGGAACCACACACGTGCTTCCCATGCCCTGTGCCAAGGCCTCCGACAGGGACCTCTTGGGAAAGGCTCGGTTGGAGGAGGGCACTGTGGCAGTCTGATGGCACTAACCCTAACCCATGGCCAGGCCACACCAGCACTCCAAACCGTGTGCTTCCCACAGGGCACGGAGTGCACGGGGCGCTTGAGAAGCATCGGGCGCATCGCCACCGAATGACCAGGGGGAAGATTAAGAAGGCAGAGCCCTTCTCTACTCGGACTGCTTTTACGGAACACTTGGCCGAGTCCAGTGGCCGCTGGGACAGGCTCCGGTCGGCTCCGTGTGCATCTCTGCTCACTCCCACCATCAGCGACATCAAGCTGGGAGCAGGGTGGGCATGTTTCCACCATGGACGGACATCTACAGACGCTAACACCAGGGCTTCCTCTGACAGGGAGCAGGGAGGCGGCCGTTAAACCTTGGCTAGCACACCGCTGACCGGCTCGCGGGATGTGGGAAGATTCCAGACCTCTACGAAAGGGATGAAGACACACCCCACCTTACTCTTTTCTTTTGTCACCCACATGTAGTTGGATCACTCTGAGGTCAAAGCACATATTTAGAAGGATCAAATAAATACTGCATGATGCGGTCTGGATACTATGAGACAACGGCAGGCTCTTATGTGTAGCTGTGTACGCATTTGTCAGACTCCTAAGCTGCGCCTGTTCAAGGGACCTCCATAGAGCAAAGCCCCCAACGGGACAGAGAGGTGTGCTACGTAACAAGACTACAATATGACAAATTACAGGGACCTTTCTGTCTTTCACCATCAATGCTTTTTAGTTTCTCACATGGGACTTCAACCCTGAGATGACACAGAAGGTGGTGCTCGCCACCGGCATCCACCTGCTGCCAAGGAACAGCTGCCCCCTACTCCCAGCACGTGACACGCTGCCCTCCGTGGCTCGGCCCGGCGAGGCACACTACCAGGCTGGGAGGGAGGAGGGGGACTCGCCCTGCCCAGCTATATTTAGTCATCTCGAACTCCCTTGGTGGAGCCTTCCTCTTGGCCGCTCTTCTCATCTTTTATAGATTCTAAAGAAGCACAGGGAAAATTCTCTTTTATAACACTTGGATTAGAGCCTGTTCCTCCAGATACCAGGAAGCTTTGAAACCTTTGGTTAAAATATGTTAAGTGGAAACAGAAATCAATACAACGGCTCCCATGCTGGATCCGTGACCTAAACGTGTCTTTAGATACATGCTTTACCTCTCACTGCAGCATGGGCTCGGCTAACCCTGTTTAGGGGTCACTGGGAGGGGGTCTCTAGAAACCCATCCAAAAATGCACCAAAAGGCTCCCCAAACCTCTGCAGGGCACATAAACTCTGCCACCGCTTTGCTGACTGATGAAGCACAGATCCATAAAACGGTAAGTAATCGATATGGGGGGAGACCTGGAGCTCTTCTCTCTGATTGCGTGGTGTTCCTGTGTTTCTGGACCTATTCAAGGGCTGTCCCAGCCACAACCTTCCTATCCTGAGAGAGGCTGTACAGCACCACAGGGTGGAGGCAATGCCTCCTGGAAGGTGTCCAGGCTGGGATGCCAGCTCGAGGAGCAGCTGAAGTGGCAGAAGGTGGGGGATGAAGTGCAGCCTGAAGAGGGTGTCCAGCCAGTTGCTCAGGGTCACTGGCAGCCTTCAGTGTGGCCACACCTGGAGCAGGAGGTCCAGCTGGAAGGCAGGAGGCCTGTCCGCCCATGTTGCCCACCCAGGATGGAGAGCCGGAGAAGAGAGGGCTGCACAAATGGATATAACAGAAACCAGGCTTAACGGGTGGGGCGCGTCCCTGAACTGAGGCCCCGAGAACCATCTGCTAAGTATCATCCGCTGAGCCCTGGGAGAAGCTGTTTTCTCCCGGCCAGTGCGGTCCACTCTGAGGAGCAACATGCCACCTGACTACGGGGGGAAAAGCTGTGCTGGTACGGAGTGGGCAGAGCCAAGACAAACAGAAGTGATACTGTGCCCTAGAAGGGACAGGAGAGGAAGACTAAGAAGACCTAGGTTCTAGAACTTCCTCCCACTGAGTAGCTTGTAACTTGGGCAAAGGACTCAACCTCTCTGGGACTCAGGCATCACCTCTAAAGTGGGATAACACGTGCCCAAGTTCATACGGGGTCGTATAAAGTTGATGTCTGATAAACCTAGAGAATGTTTTCCCCTGCCCAACTACAGTTTATTATTCTTACTCTTTGGAAGAAAAAAATCTTGCAAAAACATTGATTAGATTCACATCTAATTTCAGAAAGTAAAGCAAGAGGCAGGAAGACAAAAATCCATCAAAGCTCAAAGTATGTCCAACCTATAAGCATTCTGTTCTGGCCAGAATACAGGTACCACTTTTTACGAAAACCTGAAATCTGATTTGTTTCACTCTGTTCTACACACCTTTATTGGGCCTTGAGTTGGCCGTCGTGCAGACTAAATAGAAAGTGTAGACTAAACAACTGACTTGGCACACGCCACCTCTTGGTGAGAGGTGAGGAGGAAGCCAGGGTAAGCCTGGAGGGACTTCTAAGCGAGACCTCCCTGAACCCAACAGAGCAGAGCCTGGCAGGTAGGGCTCCCTGGAACCGCTGGGTCTGGGCCAAAACATAGGTTTTGCAAGTTCAAGTTCAGAGAGAAGGCTGGCGCTGGTAGGTCCATGGACAAAGCCTGAAGAGATGCACAAAGGTTACCCGGGAAATGTACCACTAGAAACGGCGCTTCCTTTTGGCCTCGGGAGGGCATCCAGAGGGGCATCTGGAGGGGATCCAAAATGGAGGCCAGGCCAGGGCCAGGACAGCCGTGGAGGGAGGAGGCCAGCGCCCTCAGGGCCGGCGGCTGCAGCTGGCCTGTGGGGTGGGAGACGGGCAGGGCCGGAGGATGTGGGAGGATGTGTGTGCAGCCTGGCCCTGCCTGTGAGTGGGAAAAGAATCCTGGCACACCCAGGTTACGTGCCCGCTGGTGGAAAGGCTGCCGAGGGCCTCTGGGCAGGGCCTCTCCGGGGGGAGGCCCCCTGGCCCTGCGTGGACCTGGCGTCTCCCTTCTGCTCCGGGGAAAGGCGATTACATCTCTGAGCAACATCTGAGAGAAGACCGAGCAGGCCGAGGGCCAGGCCAGACCGGGGGAGAGTGAGAAGGAAGCCGGGGAAGAGAACACTGAACCCGGGAGGGGAGAGTGTGCTCCCTTCTCCTCCCCCAGCCCTGGGAAGGAGTGGAGGGCTGCAGAGGAGCCATCTGCACTCCCTCCCTTCCACTCTCCTACTCTGCATTTATTTTTCACTTCATTTCACATGACAGGAACATGATGTCATTTTTTCTGTTACTCATCACATTAGCAAACAGAGCTATTGCCAACTCACAAAGCTGCCTTGCCTAGGGTCAGTGGGCCAAGCGGGCTCCAGCCCCACTGGGTCCCTAAGGTTTCCTCACAGCCTGTTAGCATCCCCCCTCCCCCCTGCCAGCCAATTCCATGGGAAAGCAGGGGTGCGGTGGGCCTTGGGGAGGCAGCACAGAGCCGCAGTGGGTTCAGGTCCTGCCAAACTGCAGGACCATGGTCACCACTTGCCCTGTCTGTGCCTCAGTTTCCTAGTTTCTTATCCCAGAGCTGTTGTGCGGGTCACACCAGATTAAGGGGCTAGTGCAGGGCCTCATCTTCAACATCGCAAGACTTACCGAGCATCTAATACATGGCAGGCTCTGTCCTCAGAGCTGGGTGGTGCCCAGCCTAGCCCAGAGAGGGGCGCATCCCGTGGGGTGAAAGGCAGTAAGAAAAGCTGCCGCTGCTGCCATAACACCAAGGACAGTCATGGGGAGGGTGGGGTGCAGGACACAGGCCCAGGAGGCACACACACTGCTCAGCCACCCATCGGTTGTGGCACTGGGAGTGAACCATCTCTCTGTGCTTCAAGTTTCTCATCTCTGAACAGGGAGAGATTGAGGTCCACCTGATCGGGTGGTGACTGTTACAGAAAGTAGTTTACATAAGCGTCGCAACGTTGGATATAAGGTAAAGTTAGGTAACAGCTTTAAATAATAATGATAATTGCTAATACTTAGTAAGTGTGATAAGTACCACGGGGTGAGAAATGGGTAGAAAAGATGGCTGAACAGAAGCAGCTAATCTGGCCAAAAGCTGGGAGAAGAGGCTACAGTCAGGGGTGCTTTCTCAGAGATGACACCTGAACTTAGACCGAAAGGGCAGCATCTGTGAAACTAACCCTTACGGTTAGGTTTGCTTGTGGCTGGAGAGACAGCCTTGTCTATACTTGTCTATACTTGTCTATACAGCAATACTACGGATCCAGCTCCTACTTCATGTTGTTGGGAACGTCCCCTCTCCCTCCTTGCTGCTACAGGGACCTAAAGAGCCAGGCCACTGCCGGGCGTGAAGCGGACGGAGGCTCTGGCGAGCCCCAGGCGGCGGCAGCAACAGCTGGATGACTGTTCCGGAAGCAGGGCCACACGCCTCGCCAGTGGCAGGGCCAGGTTCCTGCGGCCTCCACGGGGGGCCCGTGGGAGGCCCGGGAGCCCCGCCACGGTGGAGAGGGAGGCCCCCATGGAGGCAGCCGGCAGAAGAGGGTGTACCCCGCCTCTGCCCCATGTGTGGCTGCTGACAAGTCAGAAGCTCTTTTGTACATGACTGCATCCCAATTACACCCTAATTACATACGTGCTTCACCGCAGCAATGGCACATGTGTCCAACACAGTGTTCCCATCTCACTGTTTCTCAGAACTATTCAAGAGACAAGGTGCCTGCCCCTTTCCAAAAGGAAACAGACGCAGGTGCACACAATCTGCATTCTACAATTTCTCTAATCAGTCCCGTTTGAAAGCAGCAAAGGCCAGGGAGTGACTCCTGTAATTAAAACAAACCTCGGTTCCGACACGTATGTTTTCCAGGTTGCTCCTTAGGTCTGACACTTACATTTCCCAGGAAACCACCCATCAATTCTTGAATTACCGACCTGGACCCCGGTCCTGACTGGAGCCTTCGTGACGGCCGTGCCCCACGCTGAGCAGAGCTAACGCACTGCCCGGGGAGGGGAGAGAGACTTTGATGGATGCTTGACCGAGGCATTTGTGATTACTCCAGGGCTTTTTTAATTGAAAGGCTCAGTAACAAATTTTGATTGCTAAACCTAAAGGCAGATCACTAAATAACTCGGACAGTCTCTCCGGATTTTTCAAGTGAGTGAAACTTCCATTTCCACACCAAATCGATCTGCAGACTTACCGAGGTCGATAAGAATCGCGTGCTGCTGGGAGGTGAGCTGCTTTAAGAGTTCTTTGTATGGCATGTCCTTTGGCTGCTGTTTACTGGGGAACTGGTGTTTAAGGTGGTACTGCTCTGCTAGGAACTTCCAGATTTCACCCCGGTGATGACGTGGCACACCTTCGGGGTGCAGGTGGGGGAGGGGAGGAGAAAATACAGAGAAAGACTTTATGCACAGGATATAACTTAATAATAAAAATGAGTTGTATTTTATTCCATTGATCTGAATTCTTTCCCATTATGCATTAGCAGCATAGGAAGCAACCAAAATTGTGTCCTATCTCCTTCCTTCCTCCACAATTCCCCTTTCCCCCTTCACTTGCCTTTCACCTTTCAAATATACACTCTGTTCAGACTGTAGTCGAGTCTGCCAGGCATAAACTGGGAGTGACATGAGCCCCTATGCTGTGCCAGTTCACAGTGTCCCGGGGAGGGAAGACCAGGCATGTAACTCTACAATGCAGAATGTCATCTCACACAAGGGACATAATCAAAGGGAGTTAAGGTGAAGGAAACAAAGATTTCACAGAATTTGTCACTTGTGTGAGGACTTCTGAGTAGGGGAAAGGAAGAGAGACGGTCAGACTGGAAGGGTTTTATTGGAGGCCAAACTGAGGGCGAGAAGCCTGCACTTCACTTGGTGGCTCCGGGGAACCACGGGATGTTTCTGAGCTGGAAGGGGGTAGCCTAATCAAAGCTGAGATTTTAGGCTATTGATTAGATGACTTTCTGCAAGGGTGGGCTGGAGGAGGGGCCAGAGGCTGCACGGGGCGTTGTCTGCGCACACCTGCCAGGGTGGCATTCAGTGGACACCTGGAAACAAGAGGAATTCTGCAGGAGGCTCTGCCCAATGATTCAAATGGGATTGATTTGAACACTCAAAGTGATAAAAAATGTCCGCAACTAAGAAAAGTTCTCTTAAAGTCAATGATGTTATTTAGGGCAAACCTCATTAGAAAACGGGAGAGTCTTCAAAATTCAAAATTCTTTGGTTCATAATTCAGCTGTCACGGGCCCCCAGTGTAGAAACGGGGAGAGAAGGAAAACTGCGGGTGCTAAATCTTTCTCATCTCTGAAGGGAGTTCTCTTGAGAGGAAAGGGACCCCTGAGTAAAGATTACTCTGTCCCCCACCCAGAGGAAAAGGCGACTTCCCTGGCCAGCCAGGGCCTCCCAGGAAGAGGGAGGCCTTTCTGAGTTCCCACCCGCCCCCGTGGGGGGAAGTTTCTACTCTGGCAAGAGGGCAGCGGCCGCAGCAGCTGCGGCTGTCTCCTGAGAGGTCGCCGTGTCGTCCCCATTTTGAGCACTTCCCATGATCCTCACGACCTGCTACAGGAACTCTTATCCTCCTGATAAAGACCAAGACACAGAGGCCACCGAGAACAGGTTCCTTCCCCGAGAGCACCCAGCTGGTTAGTGGCAGCCCTGGTGCGGGAGTGACATTTTCTACCGACGTCCTCCCTGTCACAACGGTCAGACGTGTGCCTGCTCACCCGGGCACTGGAGAGAAATATTTTATGCTCTGCTCCGACCTGGCAATTAATGATAAAATAACCATTTGTAGATTTGAACCAGATTGCAGTCGGTCTATTACTTGGCCCACAGGAACTGTTTTGAAATAATCACTCACAGCCATCTCTTGGGAATACTTAAGGTGTGCTAAGTAATTTGGTTTTTCCCTTACACATACCAACTGTATGTGTAAAAAAAAAGGGGTGGGGGGCACAATTAACTGTGACCACGTCCTGCACCTTCTCTGAACACACAGCTCAGCATTAATCTGATGGCCCGTGTGGTGGGTTGATTGGTGGCTTTCAAAGAGACATGTCTACATCGTAACCCCCAGAACGGGTGGACGTTAACTTACTTGGGAAGAGGGTCTTCACAGATATAGTTAAGATTTTGAAACAAGATCACCCCCTCCCCCCCGGCCCCAGATTAGCCAGGTGGGCCTTCTATCCAGTGACAAACGTCTTTGTAAGAGGCACAGAGAGGAGGCTGGAGGCGGCGGCTGCAGGACCGCGGAAGCAGAGACTGGAGGGAGGCAGCTCTAAGCCAAGGTGCCAGCAGCCGCCGGAAGTGGGAAGAGGCCAAGTGCAGCCCTGCCGACCCCTAGACTTCAGGCTTCAGGCCTCCGGGATGTGAGACAGTAATTTCTGTTGTTTTAGCCCCCAATTTTGCGGTAATTTGTTATGGTAGCAACAGGAAACTAACATGCCCTGGGTATATTATTTTTTCATTATTTTGATATTATTTTATTGCTTCTCTTGTTCTCTACTATTCCTGCTAAGAGATGTATGTTTGGTGCCTATGGTGCAAATACGCACAGCCTAGCCTTTAATAATACTTCAAACCGTATTAGAGATATATGCAGCCCAAAAACCAGTCAGCATGGTAAATGATTTATAGTGGGGCTTTTCACAAAATATTTTTTTCAAACTGGGAAATTTTCCCAAGTTATGAGATGAACAATTTCCTATTACTAAATCATTCGGATTAAGCTTATCACACCTTCATCCTTTGGGAGGAAGAAAACCCTGGCTGTGTCACTGGACAGCACCACGTACTCTGCTGTTTCAGAGAAAGCTCAGGCGTGTGATTTAAACGCAAAGGCTCATGCAAATCGGAGCCAGTGCTTTTACTGAGAATGACCTGGAATCCCCGTCCCCACACTCGGTTTTGCCTGCCCGCCCAACCCGAGACAGGATTCTGGCAGAGTCTACCCTGGACCTATAGGCAGGGTTCCGGGTGGACAGGCGGCCACCCACCACCCAAGTGTAAACACCTTTTAAGTTTTATGACTTTAAAAGTGATACATGCTTGCTATTTAAATAAAAAACGTTTGAAAGGGCAAAAGGTATAAAGAAGAAAATGAAAAACTACCCATAACTAGGGTAAATATAGAGTTCACTATCCAAAACAGGAAGCTTTTGAAAGCAAAGGAGAGGAAGGATATTAATTATTTTACTGGAACAAGTGGTACACCAGGGCTAGGCCAGGCAGACCAGATGTTTGTCATGCTGCTCACCACGCAGATGTCCGCAGGCACCCGGGACACACACACACAGGCACGCAACTGTACGTGAGTCCATGCTGGCCTTTTCTCGTTCATTTACCAACTCATCTTCTGCATCAGTACCAACCTACTGTGTCATTTTCAAGGAATATGATGTGGGTGCGGTCACATGGTTGGGGATCTGGGTTCTGTTTCATTTCTTGGCTATTAATGCCACAATAGGCATCCCTTCCCACTGCAGACCATTTTCGGCTGGTGAACACCCAGGCTGGGCCTCTATGTGTGGCACTGCTGGGTCAAAGGGAAGGGGAGTTTGCATCGGGCCCATCCTTCCAACTGCTCCAGTCTCCTCTGTGCACCCCCACTCCTAGAAAAGCACGACCAGTTTATAAAGGTCTACTTGACATCCTTTAATCATTAAGTCAATGAGATCATTCAAATAAATCATTAAGTAAACCATTTAAACCCAAACTAAGCTTTGGAATATTTAAAACTCCACAGAACTATTCTTCCTTCTCCCAAGCTGACATCCTAATCCTGCTACTGTGATTTGGTTTTGACTTGGAAAATTCATAAATTCCTTTATTTCCACCATGGAGGGGCCTCTTACTGATAAAGAGACTGTCTTTTCTTTTGAGGGCTTGGAAGTGACTTGGCCTAGACCTGAAGGTCAAAGGTGTGGCTCTGATTTGGTCTCATTTCTTATTCTGAGCTACATGTGGACTGTGGCCATTGGCTTGGAGTCATTAAAGCCTTCGTGTGGAAACCAGCTGAGTAACTGCCAAAGCCCTCTCACAGTTAAAGACACAGAGTTCCCGCCGTGGAGAGTGAGGTGGCACTGCTGGGAACACATGAGGAAATTCTGGGTTGGCCTCAGTTCCCTCAGTGCACAAACTGTTCAACCATCTCTCCGAACTTCACTGCACAGGGTCCGGATACCGAGAGCATTTCTGGTGGTCCCCCTTGTGAAATGTCTGATGAAAACCACTATTTCCAGGAGTCAGGTTTCTAAGAAAGTCAAACATCTAGAACAGCTAGCTGTCACAGACCCAGATGACTTACCTGTTGTAGAAGCAAAGCTGTCTTATGTAGTCAACAGTAAAAAGGGAAAGAATAAACTCATTCTTTTCTCTGCATCCTCTTTAAAAAAAAAAACAAAAAACAAAAAACAACTACCAAGGGCCACATGGGGCAATGGTAAGCCTCCAGCCACTACTATGGCCGCACAGAATGTGAGAACTGCAGGGGAGCTCTGCGATCCTCTGCCTGGCCCATGCCTCTCACTCTAGCAGCCGGGAGGCCAGACCCCAGAAAGGTGGCGCCACCTGCCAGAGGTCACCCAGGGAGTCCTGGCCAATCTGCAACCTGAGTCCTCACCACCTACCACATTTCTGGTCTCAGAGAACAGTACTGCCGAGGCACGGTTCAACCACAGGCGGTACCAGACGGTGCCCAGAACCAGGGTGAGACCGGCTCTGCGGCCACCACTCAGCTGCTCCCGGTCCACATTCCCTAGTCCACAGAAAGGGGAGAGTCAACCAGCAGGGACTACGTATTACTAAAGCTGATGCTGTCAAAACCCAGAGGGAAGAACAGACCACTCAGCTCCACTTACTATCTCAGAGATGAACGATGCATGCGAAACTTCTTCCACTGAACGGTAATAAAGTCAGAGGAAAACCAAAGGATTTATATATTTGCCACCCTCCTAAACACTTGGTTATCCATGACTAGACCGGCCAGAACTCAGAAGCACTGGAACGAGAGCAGACTCAGAGCTTCCTCTCTCGCCAGCACCCTCACACACGTCTGCAAGGAAATGGCTGTTTCACTCCAACACTAACGATCGCTGCAGTTAAGCTCTAAAGTGGTGCTTCTCCAACTATCTGTGATGAGGAACCAGTTTTTTCTTTAAAAATTTTCCAGTCCACAGCAAACTGATACCTTTATACCATATAGTAAAAAATGAATTAGTAGGAAAATAAAATGAGGAAAAACTCCAGACAAAATAAAAGTCCACATTTTTTTTTATTAGGATCTGTCAAATAGCTGTAAAAGTTTCTAAACGCTTGGTCTCAAGTTCTGTACTTATCTTGAGCCAGCAGTGGTCTGGATTGGTACACGGTCAGCAGACAACACTAAAAACAGTAGCGAAACTGCCCACACTCCAGGGCCTTTTGGTGGAGCAGACACAGACAGGGTGCTCCCGGGTATCAGCTCATTTCCTCCTCACGGTCACCACTGTCACCACCCACATCTCACACAGGCGGAAAGTGGGGCTCAGAGAGGTTAAGTCACCTGCCTGAGCTCACACTGCAGATTGGCAGGGCTGGGATCTGAAGCTGGGACGACCTGTCTCTAGTCTGTGCCCAACACTCCGTGCTGCCTCCTGAGGGTACTCAGGGAGAAGCCGCACAATTGGTTCTCAGGCCACTGTTGAACTCAGAGCATATCATCATATCGTTACCCCAGTCTGTGGGCAACTAAGTCCTTGGGTTTTCCTCTGTCTTATTCCTGTTTACTGGTTTTCTGCACCTTGTAACTGATTTGCTTAAAAGGAATCATGAAAGGTGATGAAAGTCACATCAATTAACTAAGATATCCAGAAACAGATTAATTCATGAAAACGGGAGAGAGATGCCCACTAAAATTGCATTTAAATTATTTTTTATTTCATACCTCTCCCCAAGCGTCAGTGAGGGGTGAGGTTTGCAGACTGATTCCTAGTAAGGCTTACCTTGCCCAACAGCTGAATGCATTTTTTCCATGTCAAACTTAATTTTAGATCTTCCTGGAGTGCTGAGCATCTTTTCCCACACTGTCGTTACTTCTTTAAGACAAGGAGTGATTTCTTCATAAGCAAGCTTCAGGCGCTTGTTCAGCAAGTCATTTTCAGAAGCTAGAACAGACCATTCGAGAGCACATTAGTGAGCACTGCGGCTACCTGTCTTCTGTTCCACAGCCTGGCTCTCCAAGGGTGGCGTTTTCTTATTTAGGGCCAAACCTCCTCCAGGTAGCTTCTGCCAATAGTTGTGTTTCTGCTTCCTGGACTGAATAGAATAAATCTATACTTTTCATATGACATGCCCTCAGGTATATGGAGGTAGCTACTATTTCCCACCAACCCCATTCAGTCCAAAGCTGTATTAAGAAGAATTATACCTAAATTGCCAAACTGGAGTGGGGGTGGGGGGTGATACAGGATTTTAAATGAACAATTCTAGTAGATTAAAACTGACAACCTCATTTCCACCTAAAACCACTAAATCCAATTTAGATACAGTGGTAACATTGTCAGCCCCCAAATCCACTTCACATCACATCTGAGACCTAGACTGTGAGTTTATTAGGAGAAGCGGGAGGATACACAGCTAAGTATAAGCCAATACACAGACTTCTGCAGAGCTGCTAAACTTGACTTCTTTACAGTAATAATAAATAGTATATGTCTTAAAGTACTGTACATTCAGTGACACTTAATCTGAATGTCACTCAGAGGCACCAGAGGCTCAGGAGCTTCACCAAGGTCCCAGAGCAGGACACAGAGTGGACCTGCGACCCTCAGCCTCACTGTGCTACAGAGCTTGCTGTTACACATTTTTTTTTCCTGGGATTAGACACAGATCAGTTAAGGATCTTGTGTGTTTTCTAGAATCCGGGGGAGCTCCCTGAGCCAGAGTTTTCTCTGTGTGAAATATTTTCAGTACAAATTTGATCTCTCTAACAGGCACAGTGCCAGTCAGATGTTCTTTTTGTTCTCATTTCCATTCTTGGTAAAATGCATCTTTTAAGAAGTGTGTCCATTTCATTTAAATATCAGGTTGGCCAAAGACTTCATTTATCTTTTTCCATAGGATGGCTCTAGTAGTGTTTGTCTTTAACTTCATTCAAAACAATTTTGTTAGATTGTATAGTGACAGCTGTCATATCAGCATGCATTTTTAAAAAAAATCTTATCAAAATGGGTGCATTTTTTATGTAGCCATTTTAATATTGAAGATGACAGAAAATATGCAACATTTTTGGCATATTATGCTTTATTATTTCTAGAAAGGTGAAAATGCAACTGACATGCAAAAGCAAAGATTCATGCAGTCTGTGGAGAGGGTGCTGTGATGGACTGAAGGTGTCAAAAGTGGTTTGTGAAGGTTCTTGGTACTGTTGACATTTTGGCCAAATAATGCTTGGCTGTGGGGCTGTCTTATGCATTGGAAGATGTTTGGCAGCACCCATGGCCTCTATCCACTAGAAGCCAATAGCAGGAGATGGCTGGCATACTCTAAATATCCCAATAAAGGTATTGGTAAAAATGAAAAATGTCTTTTATTTTATGGAAAAAATGTAACCAACTTTTTGTCCAACCCAATAGTTAGGTTTATTGGCATAAAGTTGTTCTGAGTCTTACAAGACACTGGCAAGTGAGTGTACACGTCAGAAGTCTGCTCTGTCTCATCCCCTGCAGATACATATACTCTCCCATGCCAACCCCATTTTATTCCAAAGGAGACCAAGGCTGAGCAGTGTCCTCCCTTTGCCCAGGGCCACAGAAGTAAGAAGTGCTGGTGGTAGAATGTGAAGTCCTCAGGGTTTAAACCACTATGTTTTTTTTTCTTTTTTACCACAATGCATCTGAACCTCAGTTCCTAATGCTTTTAAAATGAGAATTAGGACTTCCAGTCAAGATAGCGGCACATGTACACATGGCTTGCCTCCTCACACAACCACATCAAAATTACAACTAAAATACAGAACAATCATCACTCAGAACAGACAGAAATTGAGTTGAATGGAAGTCTGGCAACTACAGAATTAAAGAAACCACATCCATCCAGAGTGGTAGGAGGAGCAGAGATGCAAAATGGGCTGGTCCTACATCCATGTGTAGCAGATACAAATTCTGGAGGGATATCTCAGCAGCAAGAAGTCCCAGCCCCACACCAGGCCCCCCAGCCCAGAGTTCCAGTGCCAGGAAGATAAGTTCCTACAACTTCTGGCCGCAAAAATCTGTGGGGATTGAGTAGGTGAAAGAAAATTATGGAGTCCCAAGCAGTTCCTTTTGAAGAACCCACACATGGACTTACTCAGACTCACTCCCTCTGAGCTCCAGCACCAGGGTAGCAGCCTGAGAGGCACCACTGGTACACAGGGAGGAACGGAAGTGTCTGGCATCAAGGTGAGAGCTGGGGGACGGCTTTCTCTCAGACAGAAAGGTGAGCAGAGGTCACTGTCCTTTTCCCAAGCCCTCCCCCTACAAAGCCACAGAACTGACAGGCGGGTGTCATATCTGAGTCAGACAATGAAAAAGGTACAAAACATTGTTTTACAAACTAAGTGCTGACAATATAAAATATTTTCTTTTTCCAAGTTAGAAATTGAGCAAATGCTAACTCAGTGAATCTGGCTAATGACACCCTGGTGGTAATACCTTATTCATCTGATGCATGGAATCTGTACTTAACTGACCCAATTATTCAAGTACACACACTTCAAGTACAAATACATTAAAAAAAAAAACACACACTAAAAAGCCCTGCAGAGATTCCTGGTCCAGCCTCTCACTTCGTGGACACAATAACTGAGGTTCACGGCAATTAAGGGACTCGACAAGGTTACCGACTAGCTGGTGGGTGGTAGTGACTCCAGGCCTAGGGCTCTCCCTTGTCTTTTGTGATTTGTCACCTATTATCTTCATTCTTCTCCTTCTAACTTTGAAGAATACACTTTCAAGGTCCTGTTAAACAAGTCCCTACATCTGTGGAGTGCAAACTTTCAAAAAAAAAAAATGGCCACCCTACATTCATTCTGGCTGCGAGGAAACACGATAGATGCCATCCAAGCTGAAGGGGCCCCTGTGGCCAGTTGGGTGCAGGAGGAGCCTTGCTGACACCGGCAGCACGGGGCTCTCGGGGCCAGCGCACGCTTCTCTGGCAGTGAGCTCTGCTGTCAGCATGCCGGGCTGCACTGGAGAGCCCAGCAAGCACGGCGAGAAACCTGCTCTGGAGTCAACAGAACAGAAATATCTGGCCAGAAGACTCAGCTGCAGAGGCTGAGTTTAGTCCATGCATTTTGCTGTTGGCCCAAGCAACATCCTGCTGTTCGATAACCTGATGACGCCTCAAATCCAAGGCCTCCAAAATGCTGTAAGCTAAGGCAGATGGGGCAGGCCTGTGACAAACGTCAAGGAGCCAAGGCGAGAACATCAGATACAATACCAAACTGTTTATTATAGTAAATGAGGGTCTAAATCCCATGTCTGTGAGCTTCCAGGGCTGGAGGAAGCCAGGTCTGTGTGAGATCAGATGTTGTAACTTTGCAAAAGAGCCATCTAAAAACATTGTTGAACATGGATGTATGAGCTAACTTGGACTTTGGATTAATATTCAGACCTGGTTTATGTCCTTTGTATAGGGTGGGCGGTGGCTGCCCACCCCAATCCTCTGCTGTTAGCAACTTCGTCCACAGATAAACAGACTTCTGACTGCCAACACCTCCCCAAAGCTTGGAAAGGGAGGGCTAAGGGGTGGAAGCCTCAGTAATTCAATGAGCCCAAGCTTATACAAAGTTTAGAAAAACTACATCCATTATTTAATTCTTTTTTACAACATAGTATTTTTTAAACCAGGGAAACACCCGTTTAAAAATACCTTCAATTACAATTAAAATTCCAAATTCGATGTGTCATCATGCAGCTGTAATACCTGTAACATTTTAACCTTAAACAAGAAACGCTGAACTGAGTCAGTCCAAAAAAGCAACAATGTGCTGACCAAAAACTGTGCTTGTATTGAATCATGCCCTGCTATCTTGCATTAGGTGGCCTGTGTCCTCATTTACAAACGAGGGAAAATGGCCTTGCAGAGGGGTACAACGGGGGGCTGCTGGCTCGGCAGCAGGGAGGGGATGCATTTTAGTTCCAACTTCGCTGAAAAAAAAATAAGCTGTTTCACTAGGGAGCTGATTACAATTCAGCTTCCAAATGTCTACAATGAGTGATGCAGACTTCAATGACGTGGTTTGGTTCTTTCTCAGATGCAATGCTTCCAGACCTGTAACAAATATTGAATCCACATATGCAAGAGCCAGGAACTAGACTTAACTGTAGAAAGAACCTCCTCATACATGTTTTTTAAATTTCTTTTCCAAAGAGCATGCCAGTTGTCCTGAACCCATGATCAATTTCAAGAGTCACTTCCAGTTGGAATTTAACTTTCCTTTTTAAAAGCAACTGAAAACAAAAAAAAGGCAATAAATTGACTGTCTCTCAAGTACTTAGTACACTCCCTTGTAAGTTCTTGTCAAATTTTGCTTCTGTATTTAATGACAAAATTCTGGCCCCCCATTCCAGCCCAACACAGCTTACTAAACATTTTTAGGCAGTTCATGATCAGGCTCTTATTGAGTATTATTTCTCAGCAATATAGGTCCCATGCGCACCAATATAATGCTTGCTAAATTATATTCAGCAAGTGTATTGTGCCTCCATCACAAAGGTAAACATGTGCTGAACTTCACAGAGCTCAGAAGAGAAATGAGTCCCAGCAGTGAAAATGAGTGCCCACACAGGACTGAGCACTGCCAGAGGAAGGGGGAAGCAGCAGAGCAATGCTGGGAGTGGCCAGTGAAAGCATACAAGGCAAGGCGTCCCAAGTCACCTTAGGAAATGCCCCAGTTCATTCGAGTCTGGCAAGTGGCCATTTACACGGCTTTACAACAGCCTCACTTTTGTGGTATCCTGATCCCACCAATTACAGTCACAGCTCTCCCCAACATCCCCAAGAGGCCAGCTGGCGGCAGCCCCGTTTCACAGGTGAGCCCTGATTTCCGTGCCTGCCATGTGCACGACTGGCCAGGATGAGCACCAAGGCTTATGCCCTACAGGATAAACATGACTGCCTTCTTGCTTTCCACAAAAGTCCCAGCCAACATGCACGTGAAGGTAAGGGTGTGCTCCAAAGCTGTCACTTAGCTGATGACGCTCAGCGGTGCCTGTTTTAGACACCTACTTTCAGAATTACTTACCTTCGGAACACAGAAGCAAATGGTAGGAAAACAGCTGGGAGAGCCCCCGGCACTCTAAAAGGACCCGGTGCAACACCCCAGCCCCCCACTGCTCATGCGCCCGCAGGGGACGACCCAGCTCTCTCAGCTTCAGCACCGCGTCTGCGTCGGAAAGCAGCCTCTTACAACCGTTGGACCACTTTCGTATCAAAAGGTCTTATTACTTTATATTTTACTTCTTGTTTTTGGTCAAAGATAATTTACTTATCTGGACTATGAACCATATTCATCAAGTCTAGTATCCTAAAGACTTTCATCTCTTAACAAGCAAGACCATTATTGAAAGGAGGAAGTCCAGTGAAATGTACAGCAGCGCTACTTATCCACAGGGGATGTGGGCCAGGACCTTCAGTGCAGAAGCCTGAGGTCGTGGATAGTACCAAATCCTGTATATACTGTGGTTTTACTATACAGACACCTTTTCACTTAAAGGAAGCACTTTACGGCTTCTTTTCGACATATCCACATTTTGTGCTTTGGGTTATTAAGTAAAATAAGGGTTCCTCGAACACAAGCACTGCGACACCATAACAGTGGACCTGATGACCCAGACAGCCGCGAAGTGAGTGATGGGGGAAGGGCATACAGAGCGAGGGCACTTTGGACACAGGGATGATTCACGTCCTGGGCAGGATGGAGTGGGACAACTCAAGAGGTTCATCACGCTACTCAGAACGGTGCACAATTGAAAACTTATGAATTGTTTATTTCTGGGATTTTCCATTTCATATATTCGGACTGTGGGGTCACTGAAAGCCCAGAGAGCGAAACCACAGCTAAAGGGGGAACCACTATACTCTAATTCCAAAACTTCCTTAGGAGTGACGGCATGGCTGAACCACCTGTACGGTCTCCCTTTGAGAGAATGTCCTGACTTCCTGACCAAAACTCATTAATTATAGCCAGGCAACTCTCTACACCCTAAGACCCATGTTCTTTCCATTATACCACCCAGGGTACATAAACTTAGCTACTTTGAAAAAATATTTATTACTTCAAGTGACAGCATGGAAACAGGAAATGAACAAAATCTAAACTCTCAAAGTTCATGTCTTATTTTGATACTGACATGACCCTGGGCAAGTTGCCCGGCTTCTCTGAGCCTTAGTTTCCTCTTCAGGCTAAGCCCTGCCTCTTGGAGTTGTCCTCAGGAGTGAATGAGCCTGCCTCCATAAAACACCTTGATATCAGTACAGGCAGAGCTCAGCGAACGTTCAAGGTTTCAGGTTACTTGCCACTCACTAAAAATGCACACTGAGTGAGGTTATGGACTTGAATGACTACATGGGATTGGATCACAGGTAACACCCAGGCAGAGACTCTGGCTGTGGACGAAGCATGGGGAGAGAGAGAGAAACAAAACCCACTTTTAGAAGGGCAAAGCTTGCATTTGCAGGTTGTGTCTCAGAAGTTCTGGACATCGTGCTGAAAACAACCATACAAGTGTAGTTAATACAGCTGGGGAGATCATTAGGTCTCCAGAAAGAGAGTTAACTTTGAAAAAGTAAACAGATGTTTACATACATATATACACACATTTACAGAGATACATGTACGTTAGAGTACCTTGCTTTCTCCTGAAGGCAGTACGCTCACATCTGATGTGATGTCGCGTCAAAGCTAAGACAGATCACAGCCATACGGCCTGTTCAGTGTAAAAGGTGGCACACCAACCTTGGAGCTTCTGATTCTCCTTCTCCATTCGCAGCAGCAGTATCTGCTGCAGGATCGCCTTTTGCCATAGTTCCCGAAGCTCGCGAGACGTCCTTTTCTTCTCCTCTGGCACGGGGCCAAAGGGCCCATCTTCACAAACTGCTTCCAAAGGAGATCGTGGGGGAAGCTCTCCCAGCTCGGAATAATCTGAGAGGGAAAAGGACATTTCAGAATGGTCATTTTTCAGCAAAAATTTAGACTTAAACATGGTGCCAAATCAGAAAATTCCGCTCATTCAGATACTACATAATGATGTCGCCCAAACTGATGACTGGTGTTTTAACATGCGCTCTGACAAACTACATTTGAGTAATGAGCACATAACAACATGTCAAACAGTCTGCAAAAGTTGTGGCAGCTGAGAAAAGGGTCAGAGATACCTACTTTTTAAGGTGCAATATACCTTCTTCTGAGTTAATGACTACACTAATAAAAATAATAGTAGCAAACATTTACCTAGTGCTGTGTAAGAGACCATTTCTGAGGGCCTCAATGCATAATAGTTTATTTAATACTCGACCACCACATGACATAGGTACTATAACTATTCAGTTTTAAAGAAAGCAAAGTGAGACGCGGGGAATTTAAGTAACTTGCCAATGTCACATGGCTGGGAAGTAGTACGGCCAGGACTGCAACCCGGTCTCACTTGTATGCGCCTTTTAACCACCTGTTACATGGCTAGGTATTCTGAAATAAGATTAGCAACGACCATTAACGAATCCTCTACCAAGTCCTGGGCACTGTACCAGGTGTTTCATGTACAGCGACTCATTCGGTCCCAAGGAGGACAACTCCAGAAGGCAGGGATCAGCCTGCACAGGAAACTAAGGCTCAGAGAGGCCAAGCAGCTTTCCCGGGGTCATAGAGTAAATAAGCGAGCATGCTGGGATCCCAACCTACAGAGGCCCGACTCGGAGGCCTGTGCTTTCTGCTGGACACCCCCACCATTCAGGTGTTTCCTGGGCCTTCAATTTCCAAATTTCTATCTCTAGCTGGAATCTCTTTACAGTTCATGAACCGGTACCTCTCTCTGCTGCAGACCCAATGTTGCTGGCATGCAGCGTTACCACTCACAAATACCGACCGCACGCGCTGACAGTGTCCCACCTGCTCACTGGGAGACTAGTTCCGAAGAACCGCAGAGGTTCCTGCACAAACGGTCCCCAATGATTCAACGCGTCCTTGGGAGCGTCTGTCTAAACTGACCCTAAATACAGTCACGGTCTTACACGCCGTGGAAAGCCCTGAACAGCAACTTGAGTCTCATAATCCCCATGATATAGTACTCGATGCAATCTCTGCCAGTCGACAGCTCCATCGTAATTCCATGTTAATGATTAATTTCCAGAACAGTCATCAGCACTGACTATGCACGGTCTTCGTCTAAAGTCGGGTTTGTTTTCCTGCTATGAAATCAAACACAAGCTCCATATGCTTAATTTCCTAAAACAACTTGCGCATGTTAACACGTCTTAAAATTACTGGGATAGAGAAATTATGCTCAGGGGGAGCACTGTGTCAAGTATGGGACTGTGAAACCACCATGTTGTACATCTGAAACTCATAAAATAATACCGAATGGAAACTGTAATTGAAAAATAAAATTTAAAAATAAAAATAAAATAAAAAATTATGATAACCATTAAGAAACCTTAATGATCGCTGCAGCATTTAAATGCTTATCGTCACATTTCTATATACGCTCATTCTATTATGATCCTATGAAACAAGTGAGTAAATTAAAGTCCTACTTCTTTCTGAGGTAAGAAATAACACAGTTTGTGCACATTGCAGGAGGGTGCTCACATGCTAACCGTCAATATAAATGCAGGAAATAAAACTGTGTAGTATGATCTCACTGCCAAAACATTGTGAGAGGCAGTACAATTCAGTGGTTAGGAGACCAGGCTCCGGAGCCGGGCTCCCTGGGTTTTAGTCAAGAGTCTGCCTTTATCGAGTCTGTGACCCTTAGTGAATTAATTTCTTTGTGCCTCTATTTTCTAGTCTGCCAAGTGGAAGTCACAGCACCTCCCTAACCTCCCTAACAGTGGTGCGAGAGGGGCTGAGTTAACACGCACAACAAACCCCTAAAACAGGACTCAACACACGGGAAGAACGCAGTGAACCCGTCAGTGCTTACTGTCTGCTACCCAGTGTTCCCTGAGGACACAGGAAAAATGCTGAAATGTCAAAATTTAGTCAATCGACTGAAGTTTCCAGAAGACTCGACAAAGCCACCTTGACAATGAAGGTCAGGCCAGCACCAAGCACAGCCCTGGCGCCCAGCAGTACCTTTGAAACAACTATTGAGTAAAAGACGACGCAAGCGGGTGCTGGGCTTGGGCATGCTTGCTGTTGTTCTTTGAATTTCCTGGATTTTCTCAATTCTTGACAATAAACGTTTTTATAATTAGAAAATTACAGAAAAATAATGCAGAGCCATTCTGATTTAAATCAAAAATTAAAAAATGTTCTCCTGTCCTGGCTGGTGTGGCTTAGTGGGTTGAGCGCTGGCCTGCAAACCGAAAGGTGGCCAGTTCGATTCCCGGACAGGGCATGTGCCTGGGTTCCTGGCCAGGTCCCCAGTGAGGGGCACGTGGCGGGCAGCCAATCACTGTTTCTCTCTCCTTTCTCCTCTCTCTAAAAAAGTAAATAATAACAAAATCTTTAAAAAAAAAGTTCCTCTGTAAAATACCTAGAAGACAAATTAATCTCTCAAACACTTATATACGTAGGACTAATCATTACTGAATTCGATCAACTTCAATCCTTCTTTCAAAAGCAATTTGAGTCGGTTTAATCTTATTCTGCAGCTTGGAATTTTCCATTTGAACTCTTTCCTTTTTCTTCTTTTCCCACATTGGCTGCTGAAACTCCGCTGGACACTCCATTGTGATTCAAGTTCTGCTGTATCTTGTGCTGGAAGTATTTACACTCCCGCTGGTTCACAACAGTCTCGTTTCCAAAAGTGATACCCAGCTGGTGAGGCAGGCACCGGAGCGGTAGTCGGAGTGGCGTGTTAACACTCTTCCACGTGTGTGTTACAGCAGCGTGTCCGCGAACGTTCCAAGAACTCAGGGACCCATCGGTCAACAGGACACTACGGGAAGTGAAACTGAAAATTCGTTCCCATTCTTCTTTATTGAGTTTGACAAGTTTTTCTAATTTTTAAATTAGTTTACATTCAGTATTATTTTGTATTAGTTTCAAGTGTACGGCACAGTGGTTACACCACCATATATACTTTACAAAATGTTCCCCGATATTTCCAGTGCCCGCCTGGCACCACACATGGTTATTGCAACATTACTGACTATATTCCCTATGCTGTAATTCACATCCCTGGGACTATCTGGTGATTACTAATGTGTACTTTTTAATACTCTCACCTTTTTCACCCAATCCCCTGACACCCCTCCCTTCTGGCAACCATCAATCTGTTCTCTGTATCTGTGAGCCTGTTTCAACTTTATTTTGTCCTTTAGATTGACCATATAAGTGAAATCACATGGCACTCTTTCCCATTCTTGAGCCCTATTAATATAACGAGGGCTCATCATACCTAGTTTCCTTCCTCTAACCCCATAGTTTCTGTTTACTACAGCCTTTCTCCTCCTGGGTACACTACTCCCTGGTACACCCTGGACCACATTACTTGCCAATGGAGCGTCATGAACAGAACAGGTGTAACTCAGGCCGGGCTGATGGAACGTGTCTAGGAGTTTAGGCTGTTCGGCCCATTTCTTCTCTCCAACTAGGGGGCTGGCAAGGGCCACAGTCTATACAAGCTTCTGAAGCTCCAGCTTCTGCTAGTTTCTTGTCCAGAGAAATCAGATCTGCCAAGAGCACTAGAACTGTTTGGTGCTAATGGCTGTGAGGTTTAAGGTATAAACTGCCTCACTAATGTCCTCTGCTTTTGTGTTCTTTTTCTTTGATCAATCCCAACTCAGTTTGTTGAGCTTCTACCATGTGATAAGTCCCTGACGCAAATAAGAAGCCTGTCTGATTCTCACCACCACCTCATGAGAAAGGTGATGATATTCTCATTTTACAGCCAAAACAAGTAAGGTACAGTGAGGTGGTTTTTTTGTTTGTTTGTTTTTTAACTTGGCCGAGGTCACACAGTAAGAGTCAGAGTCGCAGTCAAGGTGTATTTTTCTCCAGAGGAAAAACTGTGTATCCAGTGCTGTTCTAACTCCTAGATACACGAGCACCAGGTGGGGATCCTGCTAGAAGCAGAGCTTGATTCAGGGGGTCTGGGGGCAACCTGAGAGTCTGCATTTCTCTCGAGCCCCCCGGTGAAGCTACCACTGCTGACTCTCCAAGCACACTCTGAACTGTGGGGCTCGTTGCACATTTTCGCTTTGCCTTCTCGCATGTGACCCTGTGTGCTTATCCCCACGTCAGCGCTTCACTTCCTTTCACTGTTACCACTAGGACACAGTTCAAAGCTGTTGTTGCCAGCTGCCTGAATTTAGGCCTTCACAGGGCCAGAGCTTGTCTTGGCCTTGGTCAGGGTGCCAAGGCCAAGTGCAGAACACAAAGAAGGACTATGAGTACCAGTGGTCAGTTCACTTCTGAATTAACAAAATAAAAGGGAATCCACTGAAGAGATCAGCAGGGTTTCCCAGCCCCCACACTACTGCCATTTTGAGCTTCACAATACTCTTTGTCGTGGGTGGGGTGGGGGACGTTCTGAGCACTGTGGAACGTTTAGCAGCATCCCTGGGCACTGCCGTAGAGGACTGTGGTATCTGCCCACCCCAGGAGTGACAATCAAAAGTGCCTGGTCATTGCTAAATGTCCCCTGGGAAGAAGCGGGGACCAGATCACCCCCAACAAGAACCTGATTCAGAATTTTAAAAACCCATCACTGATGGTCCCCTAAACCCTGGGAGGGGGAAAAATGTATCTCTTTCATCTAAATTCATTTTACGTGGCAATAATTACTGAAGTTATAGTTTAAAATGAACAAATTTTTAAAGATATATTCCCTTTTGTTCATATTAAGAGTAGCCTAGTTACAAAGTAGTTTAGTAATTTATGAAAGGAGACAGTTAAATATCTGTGCGTTCTAAACTTGGCCTGGCCAATTCAACCCAAGAGTCCCTTTTCTTACCAATGCAGACAGATCCCGAGCTGGC